TTATGTGGTTGTTATGGTTTATTTAATCAACTGTGAGTGTGATTAACATTTATCGATATTGCAATAAATTAATAAATTTGGCAATTTTTGATACTCCTACCACCAAAGTTTACATTTGGAGGTTACCAAATTAATCCACTGATTTATATATATCTCATGTATTATCATTTATCATTCTGCAAACATTTCCATTCATTTTCTGCTATCCTGTCTATGCACAACATTAGGTCTGGTGTTACACCACCCTAGTAACCCAAAACTGCTCCGCTAAGTGACTTTTGAAATTCATATGATGCTCCTTAATATAATTACATTTTCAATTACTGTTAAGCGGTTGTTATGGATTATTTAATTAACTGTGAGTGTGATTAAAATTTATCGATATGCGATATCTTGATAAATTTAACCATTTTTTTTTATACTACTACCACCAAAGTTTACGTTTGGGGTAGACTATGAATTATTGCGAGAATTGAAATGGTTTCTGGACTATTGTAACTGTCTCATCTTTCTCTTTAATAAATCATATCTGCTTAAATTTGCATATGTCTATTTATGTACTATTGTAGTAGTATTTTTTTATTTTATTTTTTCATAGTGTTAAAATGATGTACTGATTGATTCTCATATATAGGCTCATTTAGAATTAAGTATCTATTTCGGAAACGCACTCCTCTTTTTCTACCATTAAATTAACTTAAAACAAAAACCACATTATGTTACTGCTATAAATGTGTCATTTTTCACAATAAATTCCCAACCCTGATTAGATGAATCCAAAATTTATCCTCGTTTTAATCAGATTTATCCTCGTTTCGTAAATAGTGTAAATAGTTCTCTATAAACTGAGAGTTAAATAAAAAAGAACCTGTGTCAATTTATGTATTTATTCATGTGTTGTATTGGGTGCTAACTGACTCAGATGACCGTAACTGGTCGTATCGTTACCTCCCAGTCATACCGAAAACTTTTGTTTCACTTATTTTGTTATTATTATATTTTATATTATGTGTTTTCTGGTTGACGAAATAATAAATTCTCTCTCTCAAAGCGAGGGAATCGAGCAGCCACACCCGAGGTTCTAATATCTAATTAAAAATATATGGATTTTCATTTTCGGAACTACCGATGAGCACCGTATAATTTTGTCGAATTAAATACCTAATATATATTTCTAGAGATTGTCTTCAAGAGCCATCAGACCGCAGACGGACAGGGACATAAATATGTGTATATTTGAAATATTCAGTTATGTACGTACAATTTTAAATTTTTCTAATTCCAAAAAATATTGGAACTGTTGAGTGAAAATCCCATAAATATTTTAAATTTCAACCAATCATACGTAAATATATACTACAAATTCAACCAATCATATAATATACGATTTGTCGCAAGGTGGCGTAAGTAGGCCGCGTGTGTGATGATTTAAAATTTGCTCATCGTCTATTTGTGCCTGCAGGCGGGAAGGAAAATTTTTTATTTCTTTATTTTATTCTCAATACTCCGTGTGATTATGATGGACAGGTGGTTTTTGTGTTTACTGAATTTACATTTGAATTACATTACATATGGTGTGTATCTTGATTTTTAAAATTGTAGTCTATGTAGCTCAATCACAGAATTCAGAAAATTTTAACGTTAGGTACGGTACCGGTACCCGCATTCCAGCATTCTATAATTCCGGTTCCGTTATTTCAGTATTCAGTTACCGGTATTCCTGTATTCTGATATAATTTGAAATGTTTAGTTAGAAAACTTTTGTTATTCTGCCTGTCATGCTGACTCCCATACCCCATAGCAAATACCGTACCTAACATATGGCACCGTACCGTACATAGGCTAGACCAGTGTTCTTCAACCTTTTTTACCGTGGTATACGCCATACGGTACCTTTTACAATTTTTCAAAAACTTTGTATACCTTACAAATACCAAGCTAAAATGAACATTAGATGTTAGGCACTATTGAAAAAAAAAACTAAAATCTAGGTGGCGGGGCGAGTCATTATAAATGCTTTTTTTAGTTTTTACTCACAGATGCAATTAATTTAACACCCAAATGTGTGAAAATGTAAAGACGACGTTAGGGTTAGATTTTTGTACTCGGGAAATTCAAAAAGAGAAGCCCAAAACTCCCGAGGAATCCTTTTCGCGGAATGAAATTTTTTGATTTAAATCCCCCCGGAGTTCCAACAATTCTTCGTCTTCTGTTTGTTCACTAGTGTTGGTTCACTAGTAAATGGCTGCATTATTCGTGAGTTTTCTTCCAAACGTCTGTTATTATCTTCAGAAAAGTACAAAGCCAATTTATCACACAGTAAGTTCAAATGACAAAAAATTAGGGTAGACATGGTATTTATCGTTGAAACGTCCTCAAACTCCCACCCAGACTCTTTCGAATATTGATTCAAAAGAGGAAAGTCAATGAAGTTTCCTGAAGAACCATTGTTTTACTAGAGTTGAATTTTCATCTTCAGAGCATTGATTTCGCTAGTTGACCAAAATATATCACCTCCTTTCCCTTGAAGTCTGACGTTTACTTGATTAAAACGATCAAAAATCGACGCCATGTACGCTAGTTTTGCAACCCAATATATATTACGAAACTTGGTGGCTTTTTGGGCTCCTCTTTCAGTGTAAGACGCCCCTAATTGCTCGCGAAGTTCAAACACACGGGAAAGAACTTTTTCTCGGGACAGCCACCGTACTTCTGAATGTAGAAGAAGTTCTTTGAAAGTGGCGGCTGTTTCTTCACACAGTTTCGAGAAAAGTCTCGTTGGTTTTGAACTTTTCTTAATCGTATTCACAAAATATACGACTTCCCGTAGAACATCGTGTAATTCATTTTCTTTCCGCAGATCAAGCGACGTGCACGGCAGCCGAAATTATCAAAACCCAGACACGTGCCTGCATTATCTACATAATTTGTGATGTAACAATGTGCTCAAGTCGGTTCATTGTGTGAATGACATTTTATATTTCATGTGCGTCGCGTTTGCATTGTTGTCTCTAATTGAATGTTTAATAATTTATTATATTAAAGCTCACAATTCCTGATTTAGGCTGTACACTCTTCGTATACCCTTTATCAGTTGTATACCCTTCGTATACCTTTTATCAGTCGTATACCTTACGAATGGCCTGGTATACACTTAGGTATACAGTATACCCGGTTGAAGAGCACTGGGCTGGACTATTTCTGTTTTTCAAGCTTTGGTGAAATTTTGAATCAATTCTATAAAACTGTCCTAATGTAAAAAAGTAAAATTGAAATTAGCATATAAACTGTATGAAGTCCAGGGGTCGAGAATAACCAATGCAGCAATGGTTGACATTGTGGGTTATTTTGGGTAAATACTCATTTCAGTATTTTGATTTCCAATTCGTTTATTAAACTAATCGATACTGCGATACAAAAAACCCAAATGCAGAAATGGTTGGGTTCAGCATAATTAAAATATTTATGTTAATTTACCCATACTGCTGTACTGGCATACCCTACAAGAGTCGATGGTCTGACATTACAATATTGTAAAAAATAGGAAATCAATTCAATCTGTACTGATGTATCACCCAGACTGGATTCCATGGCAGATGCACGCCCGAGGGCGCTAGCGCTCCACGAAAATGCACACGAGCGAATTCAATTTTGCACACCAAAAATTTGCAATTGCTCACCAATGTAAATCGGTTTAAATAGTTTTTAAATCATAATCTAGCAATATAAAGATGCCAGAAAATTATAACTTCACAATTGTCAACTAGTACTAGCTTGCAAGATTTGGCCTGATTGGAAATGCGAAGCAAAAAACACCATATTCACACCTGATTCAGCATATTTTTCATACAATAATTCTACACGGATGTACTGAACAGTACCGGTATCTAAAGTCGCACAAACACTCTCAAAATTAGTGACAAAATATAGAAATAATGTTTGGGGTCAAAGGTCAAAAGTCCATTTTTTTGCTTTGATTTGACGTATTTTTCATCCATTAATTCCACGTAAAAACACTTTCAAATTAATGACGAATTATGTTCAATTTGCTCTGATTTAACATATTTTTAATCCAATAATCTTATGCGAATGTACTGAACAGTACCGGTAGTCGCACAAACACTCTCAAAATTAGCAACAAACTGTAGAAATAATGTTTGGAGGTCAAAGGTCAAACGTCCATTTTTGCTATGATTCAATATCTTTTTTATCCAATACTGGTCCGGTAATTTTACGCAGATGTATTGAAAGGTATCTTAGGTCGAAGTCAGTTTCACGCGGGCGCAGTTGTTTTGCACGCCGTGAGCTATAATTACACGCCAGAAATTCTTATTTGCACGCGGGAATTTCTGATTGCACGCCCGATTTCTCGTTCAAAAAGGCCATGAAATCCAGACTGGTGTATCACAATCATTGAATTATTTTGCAACTGATTTACCGTACGATACCAGATTCAATTTTCACAAATTTATGGAGATGAGTACTGGAGTATAAATTTATTTGTTCAACGTCATTCAATTTACTGATTGAGAATATATTACATTTCGGAATAAATATCATATATTAGCCTATTCGATTATGGTATCTCTTTTTTCATGCAGAGTTTCGTATTTGAAAAATTATAGATGAATAACCAGTACGGCACAGTTCCCTAATTCCAAGAATAGCCTCCACATTAAAAATCAATTTAAACAATGAGTACAAACTCCTTCTTTCAAGTCAGTCTAGGCCTCCAAACACGCACTGTGCAACAAAACTAAATAAATATAAGCGCAATCTAAAAACATCAACGTTGGATTCTTCAAAAAAAGTTGACCATAGCATTCAAGTTTTTAGCAAAAAACTGCAATTTCGGTCTTGTGACTGACGAGGCACGTTGCGTTTGATTTGAAATAATATCGATACAACAGACGAGCATGGCACGATCTGATGCATCTGCCTTCTATGCGTAGTTTTGTATTTTTATAACTATCAATGAATTATTTTTTTTTTTCAACTATCATTTTATTTTATTAGCAGCTAGAATAATATATAAAGTATCAAAGATGGCTACCGCAATGTATTTGGAGCAGTATCTTGACAGTCTGGAAACATTACCTGCTGAATTGCAAAGAAATTTCCAACTTATGCGTCAGCTTGATGAAAGATCGGAAGAATTGAAAGTAGATATTGATAATCTAACGATGGATTATGTAGAAGAAGCAAAAAATCTACCACCAGATGTCAGAGTTGAGAGTATCAAAAAAATTCAAAATTCTTACGCCAAATGTCGTGAGTTCGCTGATGACAAGGTTCAACTTGCAATGCAAACGTACGAAATGGTTGACAAACATATCAGGAAATTAGACTCGGATCTTGCAAGATTCGAAGCCGATTTAAAAGAGAAATCTATTCATGATTCAAACGTCGCTGGGACTTCAAAAGCTGATACAGACAGCGGTCCTTCAGATAAAAAGCGCCGCAAGAAAGGACGAGCCGCGAACTCTGAGGACGAATCAAAATCAAGCAAAAAGAAACATAAATCCGGACTAGATCAATCATTGTCTTCTGTACCTCTCGTCTCTGGAATATCTGCGTACTCGAGTTCAGATGTTCTAGATATGCCTGTTGATCCAAATGAACCAACGTATTGTCTTTGTCACCAAGTTTCTTATGGTGAAATGATTGGATGTGATAATCCAGATTGCCCCATCGAGTGGTTTCATTTTGGTTGCGTTAATTTAACATCAAAACCAAAAGGAAAATGGTTTTGTCCTAAATGTCGTGAAGAAAGAGATAAAAAGAAACGATAGCTTTTATTTTCACCGAGAAATATTAAAAATTACTCACGGGTAATATTCAAACGTAAATGTTTTTATGTTCAAAACTAAACTCACTGCCGTTTTTCATAGGCAGTTTGTTAGTAAATATTTTTCTATAATATCTGATAACTACCAGTGGGTATTAATATCTAGATTTTGATTACTAGTCAAAAATATTTTGTATCAAGGCAACAATATCTTCATAAATAATATATAAAACTAATATGGTTCATCCTGATATTCTGAGAATCAAATGCTCCGGATTCGAAGCTGTGTTTTCTTGAGCAAGTTTCCACTTTATAATTTCACATTTCGCTATTTTGTCAACTTCCACTGCTCCACCACATTCACACTACATTCATAAAAAAGGTGTATTCAAGTTGACTGTCTCTTAAACCGCTGAGATGTAAAGAGCTACAGTTAATTGCACTTTTGGCGCTTGGTGGGTGCCGGTGAACACTGATTTCTAATAGGCTGCTTTGTTGTTCGCTGAATATAATTCTGTCATCTAATCTAAGTTCTCTGCATCATTATTTTATTGTATTTGTTGATTTTCACCCAAGGCAAGGCCGAAGATGCTAGAAAGAAAAAGCTAACTTAAAATGTCTAGAAGTGAGATGCAAATAGCTATTTCTTTTGTTTAGTGCTTGCTAGACGATGGTGAAAAATCTTTTCCGTTAAACTGCCAAGTTGTTTTCGAAATATATGTTTATACTTGAATTGAATTTATTTATCCCTTGCAACATTTTTTATTGTATTTGTTGATTTTCATCATATATAATATCTTTATGTCTCATTGTTTTTGATATTTTCTCAGCCATAACATAATTTAAGTGATAACAATCTAGTGTAAGGAACAATCAAAATGGCTGATGTGCTAGATCTACATGAAAGTGGAGAGGAATTCGCCGCAGACGAGGAAGGAGATGTCGGAATTGAAAGATTGAAAGATCGTGCGAAGCGCAGAAAAGGACGTGGAATTGGGGATTCTGAAAAAAGAACTGAAATCAAGTATGAAGCAATGGAAAGTGATCAAGATGGGCCTGGACCTCAACGATCAGTTGAAGGCTGGATTTTATTCGTTACTGGCGTGCACGAGGAAGCAACGGAAGACGACATGTTCGATAAATTTGGAGAATATGGAGAATTAAAAAATTTACATCTAAATCTTGACAGAAGAACGGGATATTTAAAAGGATATGCCCTCGTGGAATTCGAGACTTTTAAAGAAGCACAGGCTGCTCTTGATGCATTGAATGGGAGTGATTTACTAGGCCAAACGATGTCAGTAGATTGGGCTTTTGTTAAACCGTCCCAAAAAGATAGGCGGGACCGTAGGCATCGTCGTCGTTGAAAATATTAAAACGATAAATCTATGCTCGAAGGTGCTGTGTGTAGTGATAAGACAAATCTGCTCAATAAACTCAAACTAAAGGCTACACTATGATCATGCTTGTCCTTTCAAGTTTAATATTGAACTGAGCGTTTTTCCTAACTCTGCTCAATATTTAGGATATTTTAATCTGTCATAATTGATTTTTGAAATAACGTTTTGTTATAGTATCTAAATTCCAGGATTGAAAATAGTTGAGCTAAATATGTGCTGCTTCATTTTTTTCTATCTCTGCCCAGATTTCAGGATGCTCTTAGCAATGACGATCAGGTCTCAATTTTTTTTTCTTTATTTGAAGTTCTGAAATATTGTCGCCAAATCATGTAGCAACAACTTAGCGCCTTGATTTTTAATCAAAAACTGAGATTTCTGAGATAAAATTGTATCACCATTCTCACTGTAGTTTGAGATAAACTTGGTATGTTTTTGAATATTTCATTGTCTTATATAGCATATTTTAAAGTGGATCAAAATTAATGAGAACTCATTTGAGTTGGTCAATGAAATTGCAACACTATGACACCCAGTATCAATTCTTGGGACAGAATAGTATGTAGTATAACTTAAATAGAATAAATACAATTTTATCAAATTGATTGTGTAACTGCTCGTGGAAAACTTGAAATTTGTAGGCGTTTTGTTTTTATTCTGTTTTATTTTCCCTGTCCGATTGCTTCATTCGGTCTTTACAATATGTAAAATGCTCATTCAATAATGTTTTGTTTCTTATTTAAGATTAAATTAAAGTATAGAAATGGCCACCAAATAGCCGAAGTTAAATAATATATCATCTTTGAGGAGGAAAAAGTGAAAGAAAAATGTTTTATGCACATTTTGTATTGAGTAAGCGGGGTCCTCTTGCCAGGATTTGGCTCGCTGCTCACTGGGATAAAAAACTAACCAAAGCTCATGTATTTGAAACTAACCTTGAAGCTTCTGTGGAGACGATCATTAGTCCTCAGGTATGATTGTATTCTTTGTTCTGTTTGTTGATTGGTTCAGACTTTTTGCGTAGAATTTGTCATATAGCTTAAATCGGGTGAGGATATTACGATTGATTGTTCAAGCAATATTTTTTGCAAGTTGCTCAGGGATGGCCCAAACATGATATCAGCTAATCTTCTGAATATAGTTTTTCAAATTTGTTGGACAAGAAAAAGCACAGAAGGCGATTTATATTCGATAAGTTTAATCTGAAAATTCGGAGATTATTAATAATAGAGATAGGATTTATTTCATAGCTTTTGAAAATGAAATAAAACCGTTTTGGTTGTACAGTTTGTTAGACATCAATTGATTCTCAAAATGATTAATTTAATTAAGAGTTACCCAAATTATTTATATTCAAATCAAAATTTCGAAATAAAAATTTTGAATATAATTTAATTAGAATATTCAATTTATTTGGGAAATCATTCCTCCATCGTTGTTTTTCTGTGAGCTCTATTTATTGAAAAATTTGTATTCTTAGGAGTCCTAAATTGTAATGGCAAGGGGTACATCTGTCATCGATTTAACCTCCAATCGGAATGTGGCACTTCAAAAGTAGGCACCGATTCGTAAGGAGCTTCTGTTTTTGGAAAGTACAGAGTTTGAGATTAGTTTGTGTGACAAGTTGGTTATGAAGCCTAAATCTGAGATCTCTGACACAAACATGGTTAGACTCTGCACTCTCACCATTCAGCCTTTGGCCCACAGACATTTTGTTCAGAAGTTTTTTGCTATATATACAATGTACAAACTTTACATTGTATCTATAGCAAAGACCTGGTCACAAATGGTTCAATATATTACAATCTTTTTTTTTAACAGGTAAAAATGGCCCTCAGAACATCTGGTCATCTTCTGCTTGGTGTTGTTCGAATTTATAACAGAAAAGCAAAATATCTGCTGGCTGACTGCAATGAAGCTTTCGTCAAGATCAAGATGGCTTTCAGGTACAAATAGTAATTTATATTCTTTTAACTATATTGTCCACCCAGATGGCTTAGATTGAGTAGTTTATGTGGTAAATTCAGAAAAGGGCGACCTTTTATGACCCATGGCCCCTTTTTGACGGCTTTTCGCACTCATGACCCCCCTGTTCATTATTCCAGTGGTGTTTAGAGTGTTATTTTGATTGGTAGATTCTAAATCATATGATGTTCAAACAATTCATGCTCAAAAAATTTATTATTAACACCCTGTGAAATAACCTTATCGGGCAATGAAACTTGCAATGTGAGGCAAGGGGTAAAATATAGTTATGCGCCTAGCATTGTGACCCCTCTCCAACTGGCCACGAGCCTCCAGTTGGGAACCGCTGTTTTAGATAATTTATGATGTTCAAAGTTGTTTCATCTTTTTATTTTCACAATTTTTGCAAATTTTCAATATAATTTATTCATCTCAAAATACAATCCGATTCATCTATCTATGATTGAAGTTGTTTTTGGTCATATAATATATCTTGTGACTTGTGAGAACTACTGTTTTCAGTAGTTGGATAACACCAAAGATTACAGTATTATATGTCTGAATGTGTTTACAGCAGTGTTTCTCAAACTGTGTGCCGCGGCGCACTAGTGTGCCGTGAAAGATTCTCAGGTGTGCCGCAGAGCTTTTTGGAATTTTTGAAAATAAGCTTTTCATATTACACATAGGCATGCATGCAACGGAAGACTTGAGGGCACATTATACATTATTAGACTGATAACATCATTGCATTTGCCTTGTCGTTGTAGTAAGGGTAATTGTCACGCTATAATTGTCATGTTATAATGTATATTCAAACAAGACGTCCATCTTTCACCATGTTGACTTGCGCGCCTGGTTGGGTTAACAGGAAAGCAAGTTTGTACGAGTTTTGACTGTGCCAAATTCATCGAAGTAATCTGGCCATTTGCATCTCCATGGCTCTGTGAAAGCGTTTTTTTTTTGCTGAAATTAAAAGCAAAAAAGGGAGCGATGGAACCTCGTTTCAATTGTTTCCCAATACAGGCACACACATCGAATAAATATTTGCAGAATAAATTTGTTTAAAGCTAACTTCAGTTTTTACATGTGTGCCGCAAATTTTTTTTTATTTGCTTAGTGCGGCACGAGCAAAAAGTTTGAGAACCACTGGTTTAAAGACATGGCACTTAACTTCCTTTTTATATATTATTTACATATCGTAATAAACTGTATCTTCAACAAATTGTTCTCTGTTTCTTTTCTATGCTGTCAAATACAGCATAGAAATTGATTGATATTTTGGTCTTCTATTGAAATGCATAAGGAATTAAGGATGCAGTAATTGTCTTTTTCAAATAAACATTTCTATTATACAGACCTGGCGTTGTTGATCTTCCTGAAGATAGCAGAGAAGCTCCGCACAATCAAATTTATTTGGTGGAAGAATTTCAGGATTTTGATGCACCATTGCCAGATATAAGGTAAATTATTTTAGGTCACAAAATAGCTTAGGTTTAATTTTTTTGTGTGAGAAATTTGTATTGTGAGAAATTTGTAAATTTGGCGAGGATATATTGTTCATATTCACATCTAGCAGATTTGAGGTCACCAACGTGGCCCAATTTCGAAGGATTCTTGTTCAGAACAAAAGTCAGACAACGGATACCGGTATATTACCAATTTATCTACTTCTCACTTCTAGCAACTTTCGAGTTTGCCAATGTGGCCAAAGAGCTTAACTTAAGAGCTTTTTCTGTAAAAGTGACAGCTTAACTAGATACTTGTTCAGAACGGAAAGTACGACAACGCTTCATATTGCGAAATCTGGAATTCAGATTGCGATACACCTGAAATTAATAATCATTCAGTGTTTGTTTATTTTTTAAACTAATCATCGTTTTCAAATATAAATCTTTCAGTGACATCAACATCAATCGCAACCTAACGTTGAACCAATCGAGACTTGAAGAAATCACAATGCCAGAAGATGTTCCGACGTCGTTTCAAATGGATGAAGGGTTCGGTGGCGGAATGATGGGGTTTGGCAAAGAAGTTGATCAGTTTTCGACAGGAGATTTGCAAAATATGTTTTACAAAGATGACAACAGAAGTAAGATTTTTTGCCAATGTCATTAGTTTAAATTTAAAAAAAATAACTAATTCAATAAATTAAAGTTGCGTTCTTCTCTGTTGTACTTTCCATGGATTTCTCTTTTCAATGGGATAATTTTCATAGCACTAGTGTTAAACAACTTTCTGGGTATCTAAATAAATTCGAAGTTCACAATTCTACTATCGGTCTCTGTGCTGGTACATGCATCGGTGTATGCAAGGTGGTAAGAAGAATTTACTTACTACTTACGGTATGTCAGCAACAAGCAGTTTTAGGCTATTGGTAGATGGTGACTATTTTGGTCTCAGTCTAAAAGTATGAGTGCCTTTTCTCAAAATGATTTTCAAATATGTAAATTGAGTGCAGCTAGTTATTAATGTGATGAACTGCTAGTCTGATGAAGTGTGACTTTGGTCGACCAAATAATTGCAGAATAAATTTGTTAAACTATGAGGTAAGACTTTAGACCACTCAATATAGGAGTACTGATTCTTGCTGCAGTATTCTTATAGTATGCACAAAGGTAGAGAGAAAAAGGAAATAGTTAGGAACACGCTATTCCAATAAACGGTTCTCCAGAAGTATGTGGACCAAGATGGCGCACAACTTGAACATAGTATGTGTACCAGGTTATGGTTCAGGTTGTGCGCCATCTTGGTGCACATACTTCTGGAGCGTCCAATAAACTTGATATGAAAATTGTTATTATATTTTACAGAGCTTCCTGGTTCTTCAAAAGATCTTGGATTTGGAATGGATGGAGGAGGAATGACTGCTGATATGGGAGGTGGAGGGATGTTAGGTAGGATGGTAAAATGACTTGACCTCTTCAGGAGGATAATATGCCTCATAGCGCCACAAAGGCCATAATCTATCTAGGCCTATTTAATTGAGTATACTAATTTTCAGGATTTCGGAAGGCCGGGGTTGTGCATCAGACGGCTTGCTGGTCACAACCCCGCCTGCCAAACCATTTCACGTGGCCCCACATTTCCCCCTACCAAGCAAAAAATCCTAATCCGATAGTTTATGTTTAAAAATGCGCTCACATGCACATGGGCATTACATTTTTTTGCTCTTGTCGGTTGTCGCTGCGTTAAATCTTTTGCCGCTTTGCCCGATGCCCTATTACTGTAAGACTAAGCTATAGCCGCATTCCGCATTTCTGCATGTTTCACCTAAATGTCTTAAATAAGTTGGTTTTATGGCCCACTGACAACGCCTGTTCAAGGCAATATTATCAGAACGCTCTTCTCAATCCAACAAATGTTTTTATTTTAACCTCACAGATGACAACTTCATGCAAGGTCCTGGGCTATTCGGTGAGGGAGAAAGTTTTCTCGGAGAATCAAGACAAGATAAACAAGATGAAATTGGTAAGTGAAATCGGCTGGTTAAAGTTGAATATACAAACACTAATTAGTGAGTAAGCAACTAAGCATTAGTAATGAATTACTGATTAGGGAGATTTGAAGAATTTTTCTTCTGTTTGAGACACAGTACAGCTTTAGAGCACTCAATTATTAATTTTGCTTCATTTCAAACAGTGCAAGTGACCTCTGATATTGAAGGATTACTAGTGTTTAAAAATTGCCAGAAAGTTCCCAGTTCGGCATTGCTTGCCCAATTTTTCCTAGATAAGCTGGTGGACCTCAACATGTAACGCCAGCAGAGTTAGGTCTAATACTTTAGGGCAGTTTTGTCCGAATACAGTAGAAAGACCTCAAATATGAAATTCCTAAGATACGAAACGTCTTTTCGTAGAAATATTGCTCCAAATTATGCATAATGTTTCTAAATACAAAAGGCCGAGCATTGGCTGGCCGTTTAAGCGGATGAGCAGATTGGTTCGAAAGTGTCGTGCGTGGCTTTTCTCCTTTGCCATTGGCTGACGCCCAGCACCTTACCTGGCCTGTTTGCCTCGGGGTACATACAATGAGTCTCACTCAGTTTCATGAGGGCATTCATAGGGTAAAATATGTTCCTACTTACGAAATTTCTAAGTTCCTACTGTATATGTATAAAAATATCAATTGCTATATTGTAATTGGGATATATTATTCTTTCAAATGTAGTTTAACTGTTTTTCAATACAAAAGAGATTGGTAAATCCTTAACGATAACCCTTGTCTTTGTATCGTAATTACATTTTTTAAATAGTCTTGTAATAAATGAAAGTAAAGAATATTTTTTTTTATATTATTCGAAGCAATGGAAACAGGGGAAGCAGCTATGGATCATCAAGTAATGTCTCCGATGCCACAACAACAGCAAGAACAACAAATGCAACAGAACGATCAATTATTACATCAAGATATTCCAGTAAGTGTAAATTAGTAATTTTTTTGAGTTGAAATTATCTTTATCATTTTTCACTGCCTTTCAATAGCTGTTGGTTTATTTGAATTACCTAGATCAGGGGTTCCCAAGCTTTTTTTCACGACGACCCCAAAGACAACTTTCAAATGTGCAGTGCGACCCCCGCGTAATATCTATATATATTCATGAAACTTTAGAGCTTCTTTCACTGGAATTTTGAGTTTGATCATGTGGTGGTATTAAGTAAAACAAGCGAAAAACAAACAGTGATGTCACAATGAGCACCTACATTTTTTATAGCAAAAGCATAGAGCGATGCCTATGGGCCTGTTTTATAGTAAGCCATGGTACAAACTGTTAAATTTATCATGGTTTGTAAAATCTTAGATGTGTTGTACATCCATACTCTACCATACATCACCGACCCCATGACCTGTTTGCGACCCTACCTAGTTATCACTCCGACCCAATTTGGGGTCGTGACCCCTGGTTTGGGAACCCCTGACCTAGATCAAAATTCTTCAAATTTTTTTAATAATATATTCTCAGTTGGGAATGTCCAATTGTAGGGAAGGCCAATAATTATAGTTTAAATAAAAATCGAAATTAAGTCTGTTTCGGTCCAGATAGGTGTATCAGGACAAAGGGTAAGAGTCAAAATTGCTGCTTTATTTTCAAATTTTAATCAGGATTTATCTCATATTTGGCAGGTAAAGATAGCATTGTCTAGGTTTATTTTCTATAGTTGTGTTGGCTTATCAAATATTTACAGGGACCTCCAGGAGTATGTGCACTAAGATGGCGCACTACCTGAACATAGTATGTGTACCAGGTTATGGATCAGATTGTGTGCCATCTTGATGTACATACTTCGGGAGCGCCATTTACTGTATCCAATAATATTATGTTCATTCATACATTCTTTATTGGAATGTTCATTTTCCTTTTTTACAAAAATTCCATCGACAAATATTGGAATGTGATAAAAACTAATACCTTGTTGTATTGCACTTTGTGTGTATGCATATTTTTTGTTCAAATTTAATCAAGTGGATTTTTTTTAACTGTTTTTGTATCCATCAAATATACATTCAATATTTGATTACAACTGTGCAATTATCAATAAAAAGTGAAGAAGTATAATCGGTAAAGCAAAATAATATTTTCATTCCTTCTTTTAAAGCCCCAGGAACAGCTTGAGACTGTCGATGCACAACAGCTTCACATCCATGAACAGCCAGACATCCAGACACCCCAACAAGGTCAACCAGAGACAACTGAGCAACCTCAACTCCAGACAACAGCGGACGAAACGATCAACGTAACAATAAATCGGAACGAGACAACACTCATTGCAAATGAGGAAGAAGCATTTGCGCTGGAACCTCTCGATATCACAGGTACGCTGATACAAAATTTTTATGAATTTAAGTTTATATTTCAAATTCAAAGCGGTGGTATTCGAATGGTGGTGTCAGGTGTGCCCCACAAGGCCATGTAGACAATTGTTTGAGGACCGTGAAGCTTATTGGAAAGATGAATATTTGTTAGATTCATTGTTTAGAGATTGCTATTCCATCCACATATTTTCAACGTGTTCTTTGAAAAAAACATACTTTCACCTTACTATCTGTTATTTGCAGCTTATTGGTAGCTAGTTATTTTTGAGGTGGGGCGCGAGACTTGACAAATTCTATTTAGAATTGCGGATAAAAAAGTTTGGAGAACTGTACTAAAGCCTTCCTAATATTTTTCGTGTGTTGCTGATTTCAACATACTTAACAGTAGTTCACAGCAATCCAATACAGTGCAATTATCCGAAACAAATTTCAATTTCAATAAAACTGTTTCAACTTTTTAAAATCTCCTCATGAGGGCTAAATTTCATACTAACATAAAAAAAATTTACTAATGGTTATCTGTTCAATGCTTGGATTTCCTACCTACTCTTTATTAAACATGAAATTAAAATAAAATACTAATTGTGATTAAACATGTTAACTAGAATAGAAAAAAACACTTATTTTAATAAATCCATTTCCAGTTACATTTTGAAACTTAGTGTTGATTTTTGGTAATTTTTGTTTTCAGGAGTAAAAGATACTCGAATTCGAAGAAAACGCAAATTGGTTGTTGATCAAATCATGGAATTAGACGGACAAACAATGCGAGAACAGTTGAAAGATTTCACAGACATTGTTACGTCGCTGGATATGGCGCCACCTACCAAACGACTCATGCAATGGAAAGAGCTTGGGGGGGTCGACAAATTGTTTGCTAATGCCAGTCGGATTTTTAATGACTATGTTGGAAAGGTAATTATTTTGTCTTGTTATTCAAATCACAAAAAATTAAAATATATTTAATCCTTGTGTGTCACAGGCAAAGTTGTCGGAAGTCAGTAAAAGTTTACACTAGGCTAAACTCCGAGCTATTTAAAAGCCGCCAGCTCGCCATGACTTTCAATTCTGGATTGATAAAAAAATTTTCTCTGGTTACTCAAAGTTAGCGCTGAGTTTTTTGACAAAACGAATTCTGATAACAAAACATAATCCGATATGTGCAATTTCTCTAATTGTCAATGTCATCAATGCTTAGTTGACTTAATTTAATGTTAGCTTAATTCATCCAAATTGTCCTTGAATTAAAATATGTTATGTGTGATTTAGGGCTGGGCATTTTACATAAATTACGGAAAACATGGAATCGAACAGACAATTCGCTGAGTGTTCACACACAATAAGAAACATGTTTCTTTCAACAATAACTCACTAACGAGAATATCGATCGGAGACCGAAGACTTATCGATCGAACTGCGGTTCCAATTCTTCCATTCTCACTCCATAGCGACACCATGTGTCCCATCACTAATTATTTAATAACTCGCTAACTATACGACCTAATTCATCCAAAATCAATAGGCTTCCGGTCCGAGATATGATAAATGCACATGCAAAATTTGAAGCAGATTCAACCTCGCTTTCGTGGGATATCGCGTGTGTCTAACAGACAGACAGACAAACAAGCAAACAGACAAATACCTGTCAACATACTTACCGAAATACCGATCTTAAGATCGATAGTAATAAGAGGAGAGTCATGTGTCAGAATTGCATTTTAAAATTATTGCTTAAATAAATTGATGGTTGCATCCCCACCATTGGCAGCCAAATACGAAAGATCTAGTGAATTGAAAAGCAGTTTCTAACGAATTTCCGATTGTATTCTGCTCAACATTATATTTTTGTTTATATATTCTAATTTCCTCTGCAGGCATATTCAATCAATCTACACTGCGAAGTACCGGAAGATCTGAAAGATGTCTCTGCTACACAGTTACATGAACTTTACGGACAGGATGAGGTAATTTATAGCTTAGATTTCCATGTTCTCTGATAAGTAGTGCTCAAATAAAGTCCTGGGACGCTATATAATAATTGTGGATCTTACGATTGGTGACTTTCGAGCAATAAAGCTCATGTGGTTTTATTTAACAATATTGAGCTCAGTTGATTAACTATAAAACTAGTTGTGTGATGTATGTTTCGCATTTTTGTTATTTTTTTCTGGCATTTGCTGTTTGGGCTCTTGAAAAAGAATGGGTATCCATGCAAGTCTTTTCAATCTTCAATCCAGAAACTTCATTATTTGACTTTGTATTAATTTTTTAGATTGCTAATTTAAGCTTTATAATGGATATTCAGTATATTTATTATTATTATTGTTTCACTATATTTAATATGTAAAAAAAGTACAATCATTCTTGTGTATAAAACTGAGCGGCCATGGTTAAACTGATAGATTCCGTTTTTTTTTTATTTTCAGCTTCTGATTGTGCAATTACTATAAAAATTATTTCACAACAATTTACTTTTTTTTAACAGAATGAACCAGCTGATGAATCATCTATCCAAGCTGCTCGTGACATCAGTGTCCAACAACATGAACAACCTCACGCAATTCTAGACCAATCAACAAGTTTGCTCCAACAACCACACAAATCTTTGGATCCTGTCATTCCTGCTCCGAATGCAGATGTCAGTTTACCACAACCAGTAGGTTACTTTTGTATTTATGTTTTTCACCACGGCTCTTTTGAAATATTGGCTCCAAGCTTTAATTCAAAGACTTAACAGAAGTTTCGGAGTGGGAGTTATGTTATTATGCCATACAAAAAATATATGGCAGCAACCCCATAGACATCCGTGCAAATGTTGCATATGCAGCAACTTGCTTATGAAGTGTTGTACTGTTTACAACTCTGACATGACGTATCATAATGCAATATTGATTTGAGTTAAATATTACTATGATCCACCCAAAAAAAATTTGGAGACTTCAGTTTAAAAAAATTTATTATCTTGTGAGAGAGAATGGTGTCCTGTTTGGGTATCTAAAATACAACTACATATTTGGCCTAGTACACTAACTGCTGTAAAGCCTATCTATCTCTGGTAACAGGTTACGAAAAGCCATCGTGAAGGTCCAGAAAGTAGACTCAGGAATTGATTCAAACATTTTTAGGTTCTACATTGACCTGTATTCCACCATAATTCGCTCTGAAATGCTTCTTTACTCCTGAGTGAGTGGACATAGCCTTGCTCTGAACAAAAAAAAATCACGATATTTTTTATATGGTTTCAGTCGATCAGCATTTTGATGGTTGTCAAAAATAGGTCATTTTATGATATTGCTCCGAGCAAATCCATTATAAACGAATAATTTTTCTTGCTTGCCAGGCTGCCTATAATTCGGATGATGATTATGAGCCGTACAGTGTAGGACCACCAAGCATAGCATCAAGTCCAGGTGACAATCTGGGACAGCCAGGAAGTCCACCTGCTGTTCCTGAGCCAGGTGGCATATCTGGCCTTGGTGACCTGGGTCTCAGTGACATATCAGGAATACCGGAACAAGCTGAAGAGCCCCAACCAGAGATTCCTGAACCAGGTACGTGTATTAATGTAATTTTATGGGTGGTAAATTGAATTAAATACATGAATTGAGTGCATTCGATGCAGTAAGTTTCGGTTTTATGAATTATTTTTTTAGGATACCTTTATATGCAAGGTTGTCCCTCGGAGTATTTGTGTGTAATTGAGTATATTTGATATTGAAAGATTCTATTTCATGATTCATGATTAATTTAGAAAATATATATTTGAAAATTTATAATTTACTTCATAAAAAAATTGAAAATCAATCAAAATGACGTTCATCTCGAATTTTCAGCAATATCAAGTTTTTCAATGAATTTTATTGGTTTCTGTAAATTCTACTGTAGAGCATAAACCAATTCGGAATATATTACATATTTGGGAAAATTATTTCAAAATGACGAATGATACAATTTTGGACATCCACACCTAACTTGAACTAATTCTCGCATATTTGAAATCTGCCATTAGTCTGATGGTTCTGAAGGTAAAACCATGTCTGCCATCCCACCGAAATTAGAGGATGTTCATAGAATTAAAAAACTCGCATTTAATACTTAGTTATTCAATTAATAATCATTTTAAATATGGATTTACCTCGTTTCAGATGAAGGTGAAGCATACGATGATGATGTTGATGATTTGAGATGGAATAAGAGAACTCAACATCTGATGCACACGTTAAACGTAAGTATTATTATATTTAATTGCTGTAAAAGCTGTGCAAATTTTGCGAGGCAGTCCCAAAGAAGAGAATCTTAATGATGGGTTGAATCCTATTGCAAGTGCTGTCATTTAGTTGTCTGTTTCAGCAATAAATCTATATCTAGCTTTAAGTGCAAAGATTTACAAGTCAAATGGATAGATAAAGTTGAAACTAAATTTGCCTAACATCAAGTCTTTCTGAATTGAAAGAATTGTGCATGGGGCATTCCGCTTTACTAAATCATTTCCAGTACACTGCTCAGTAACTGTTAGCTCTAAAGTAGTTGACCCTATTGTAATTACATATGTAACCTTAATTACACACAATGATACATTTAAACACTTTACTGAATCATTTAGCAGCTAAATTTACGCAGATAAGTCATTCAAATCATACCAACATAAAAATGAATTATTATTTGGATTTGCTAATTTATACAAATTGTAGTTATAGGTAACAGCCTTTGATTTCATCAGATAATATTTAATCATTTCACTGTCCTATCAAGAGGAATAAAAGTTTATTTCGAACCTTGTTTTTACAGAGATCATTCAAGCATAGCAACCAAATTTCATTCTTCCAAACGACAGAAGGACTGACTCGTAAACAAGCCGTGTCTAAGTTTTATTCCTTACTAGTCCTTGCAAAACAAGAAGCCACCCTTCTACAACAATCGGAAAGCTTCAGTGATGTTTTTATCAAACAAGGACCAAGATTTGAGACTGTATTGATGTGAAAAGACTCTCACTAAAAACGATGTTGAAAAACTTGGTAAACGCAGGCCAAGTAAATGTTATACAGACGGTTCATCCCTTGTAGGCTCGAGTGCGAAGATTTGCTAAATTATTCACAAAATCAAAACTCACTATATTAAATATAATCGGGCGTAGCCAGCAATTGTCAATGGAGGTTTTGTTTATAATGGCCGAGTAAGCGTGCGTTAATCTACCAAAAATTGCTATGTATGGTACATTTCAGAGGCGTGGATTGGTCTGCGGATTAGAAATATAATTCCCATATAGACATCTATAGAGTCAAGATGTGGAATGCTCATGCTTAATTGTTATGATCAATCCTCAATTTTTTTATGGCGTCTCAAGTTAAATGGAGTCCCGTTTGTTGAAGTGCTTAAAATGACAAATGTGTGCTGAGTGAACAATAGTTTCAGCCTTTAGGAATTTGCAACAAAAGGGATATTGAGCTTTGTGGATAAAACTATTCGAATGTATTGTATTCTTTGGAATTATTCGATTGAAAAAATAAAATTCGATTACACCAAGTGATTTTTATTTAATAAATTAGTTCGCATTTTAACATTCTTAAACGTTCTAGGTGCAAGTCAATGAGATATATTGATTAAAACCAATTCTTTAATTGAAACTGATGAAAGATCTCTGACTTCTTGGTGACTTGGTAGTCTTTATACAAAAGCGTAATGCGGTCGTCTATAGACAAAGGGTTGTGTAAGCGATGACCAGATAACCATAAAAGCTACATCCACAGCCCAGACATTCGGTCAACACAATTTATGAATTGGAAGTTTGACAAAACTTTTAAGTTCGCCTCCACTTTCTTCAATTAACCAAATATGCTTAAATAACGGGATACTTAACATTCGTAAACTAAATCTTTAATCACGTCAACCAAACCTCGTCTTGTGCATTGTTGATAAACTTGAGCCTGCAAGGGTTGAATTGTCCGTAAGCCGAGTAATTTGCTGCTTATTATAGACTCCAGTACGAGCTTGGCTCATAGGATAATAGAATTGTGATTTAGAGCTATAAAGAGAGAAGAGAATAGAAACTGGTATTGTCATTATCTGCTGCTATCACTGCCCATTTATTTGATGACAAGATTTGAGGTCTTTCACCCAAGAGGACAAATCTTGGAAAAGCTGTTTTGAAAAAATGATCATTTTTGAAACTAGCCTACTATAGATTCTTATTGAAATTTTATTAATAAGCTTGCTTCAAACTATGATTAGATATCAGATCTGCCTTCAATATTTTCAAATGAATTTCGGTATTCATCCTTCGGGCTTGAAACCCTTGAATGACATCTGAGTGCAACGTAGTCATTATCATTTACCCATATATGTTCTTTCTATGAATTATCATGCAAACAGTTGTCTTTTCATAAGTTTGTATGTTTTCGTAATCCCTTGATTGTAATAGATTGGTTGCCGTAAGTTCTATGTATCAGCTTTGGTCTTGTATTGTTGTAATTCTGTATGGAGACCAGATACCTTAACTTAGGGTCCTATTTTATATAGAGCATCCTACTTTGTCAAGTTTGAGAGGTTTGGTTTGAATTTTGGGACCTCCAGAAGTATGTGCACCAAGATGGCGCACAACCTGAACACAGTATGTGTACCAGGTTAGGATTCAGGTTGTGCGCCATCTTGGTGTACATACTTTGGAGCGCCGAATTTTGGTTTGGTTTGAATTTTGTTATCCAGTCGTGGTCAACTTTTTTCTATTTTATTCGAACCCTAACGCGACACATTTTTATGATATATTAGTCTCCAAGTCCATGCTTCCGAAAACAAACAATACAGTAAAACTAATCCCATACCCGACTTGGAATGGTAACCGGACGAGAGGCCGTGGTTCGCCATATGGATAAGTCGTCTTATCGGCTTTCCTCTCCCTCCGGGATAAATATGTAAATCCTATCCTAGTCTCATTCAGGGAACTGTTCTACAGGATGGATAAAATATCATTATTATACTGCATTGTTGCTTAGCATGAATGTTTATGAGCACTTTTTCTAACTTTTTTGTCCATTTTGGTGGTAGTTTTACCATTGTAGCAGTAAGAATGTGTATTTTTTGTATATAAATACTTTTTTATTACTCCAATATCTGCTTGTATTACCCACTTTAGCTTGAAACTATATGTGGCTTCATTGGAACAGGTGCTATATAGCCAACCATATAACAAAATAATATAACATTTTGCCAATCTGTTGCAGAAAGCTATGGTAGCTTGTTATTACTGTTTTAATCATGCAGTAGTGTGGTCCAAATCTTTACAGTTCTACTACTAAGCCCTATAAGTGATTCACTTTTAATTAATATACTCTAAATTTTATGTTTTCTACTTGAAACCAGGCTTACAGCTAACTCTGCACACATTGAATGAATTTGGAGGTTATTATGAGATCTGCTCTTTTCGCATAGATGAAATGCCCCAGCGCAGACAAATGCCATGTTTCATTAAACCCAATTCAACAATTTTTGAACGAAAATCTTGAGTTACCCTAGTTTTATAGTTGATTTGCCATAATTACGGCGACTAGTCACAGAACCTCATCTTCTCCTGTGTTATACGGGTTGGGAACCACTCACCTAGGACTGTAGCTTATAATTTTTTAATAGCCATTGCTTTTAATGCCATCTTTATTATTTTTGTCTTTCAATGTCTAGAATACAGATTTTGATTTTTATGTATGTTGTGCGAGTCTATTTCCCACTGGAAACCGATTTTAACTGTTGAAATGACCTAAAATTATGATGCCCAATGATCTATACTGCCTTGCAAATGATGTAAACTAGGGGTGTGCAAGATTTTATACAGTAGGGCGAAAACTGTGAGCCGCACCTTAATTTAACATGGGCCTTTTAGTAGTTCCACGCACAATTGATCTTATGAAATGTTGTTCGATTCGCAATAGCTAGCTGTTAGGTCATTATAGCGTCATAGGCATAGGTAATAAATTGGATGTGGGTATAGGAATGCAATACAAAAAAGGAAGTGGATTTCCTCTTACACAGCAGAATAAATTAAAAACTCGTCTCGCGGGTCTCATCACATTCAAAATTGACACTTCTCTGCAGGTTGCACACAGGGTTGTCCAAAACGAATCGAATATTCGAAATTATTCGAATATCAAAGTATTCGAATACCTTTTCGGCTCATTTCCGAATAATTACGAATAGTAGTCACTTTTCGCCGTAAACACGGTGTTTCGTTTTACCGGAATCTTCAAACGACTTTTTACGCTTTCTCACGTATTGTAATGACGATGAAATAGAGTCGGCATTTTGATTGTTTATATTCAGCGCGAATGTACGTCCCATAGTGTTGCGACACATTTGCACGTTTGCGTTGGTGGACATTGCCGACATTCGTCTTTTAATTCACAAAATCATTTCCATTAGTCGAAAAATCGACAGTCCCCGTATTTCCCGGCTAATAAGTCGCTTTTCTAGACCCAATTTTGGCTTGATTTTTTGGGGGGAGGGGCGCCTTATTGAGAGAGCATGTTCATTTTATTTCTATGTGGCCTGCTTATTTTTCGCATTAGTCTTCTCAAGCATAATTTGTGTTAACCTTATATTTGGTTCTTATGGGTATGCCAATCATGATATTTAATCGTAGGCCGGTTATCGTTACTTAAAAGAGAAAACACGGCCACCGCCACCGAGATAAAGTAAGTGATTTATGACCCTTTGGTTTTGCCGATTCAGCAGAAAACGACAGGGACATGAAACACAGCTGTGAAATAACCCGTGGACGTACCGTGTGGTACTTATCACATTTCAAAATTATTTCAACATTCGGGTTGATAGGTTGTCCAAAATGATTGCCGCTTTATAATTTAAATTTACCGCTTCGTTGTTGAGAATAGTTAATTCCGTGAGTATGGTTCTACCAAACAAACATGATCTGGTTCTGTTCTGACCCTATAAAATTATAGATTGTTCAAAATGATTGTGATTTTTAACTTAAAATTACCGCTTTATTGTTAAAAAGAGTTAATTCTGTGAGTATGATTCTACTAAACAAACGTGATCTGGTTCTAAACATTATTATTAGCGCATATTAGCGTAACTGAACAACAGGGAACAATTTTTCTACCCATCTTCTTGGAGGCCTATATGGAAAACCCCCTTTTTTGAGTGCTAAAAATATACATCGTCCTATTTGCCATGTAGACTTATTAGCCGGGAAATACGGCATCTATAGCCGTAATTGTTACGATATCCAATAAATTGTCACAAGTTGGGAAACAAGTTGATTTATTGGAAAAATACTCTCACCCGCTTTCTGGCAAATAATTTTGATAATGATGGTCAAAAGTATCGATAATGAAAGTATTAATACCAAATACCACGGGTATTTGTGGGCATGAAATGTGTGGTAAACTGCCCAATTATAATTAATTTCGGATTCGTATTTACAAAATATTAAAACTATTATAACTCAAAAATACAACGGCGATTTGTGGACTTGAATGTGTAATAAAGTATAAATTATTTTTCCGACTTGTGACAATCTTTTCGTGAGTACGAAAATAAGAATCAAAAATTAATTATATTCGGGCACAATATCACGGCATTCTGTGGACATAAATTGTGAGGCAAACTCGCGATTGATATTAATTTTTGATTCCTATTTTCGTATTTACAAAATACAACGGTGATCTGTGGACATTGAATGTGTGGTAAACTACCCGATTATAAATAGTTTTTGAACCCTATTTTCGTATTTATAAAATAATAAAAGTATTATTACACAAACATACAACGGCGATCTGCGGACTTAAAATGTGTGGTAAAGTTCCCGAATATAATTACTTTTTGATTCGTATTTTTGTACTCACGAAAAAATTGTCACAAGTCTGAAAAAGAACTCAAACTTTATCCCGCTTTTTGACAAATAATTTGGATAATGGTTGGTATTTAAAAGTATGGGCGTTCTACTAGGATGATTTTGTGTTGCGCACGCATTCAAATCCATCACCGATACCACTATTTAAAATGCCTTGTCGTATTATTTTAATTCTGTTAATTAACACAACTCATGTTATATAAAATATATATCGCAATAATCTGCAAACATGAAATGCCTGGTAATATAGCCAGGTTGTAGATAGAAGTTATTCCATTGTTTATTGTATGAAAATTCCTTCATACACTTAGATTCTATTACTGGATTTTATTTTCGAAGTATTCGAAATTTCATATTCGAAAATAATAATTACGAATGTATTCGAAATAGTGAACTATTCGGTATTGGCCATCCCTGGTTGCACACCCCTGAGAATACAACACAATGTGCAGCAAAACGGAGGTCCTTCGTCAGGGGTTATGGATCTGATATTTGGATGGCGGTGAGATTTTCTCTTTCTATGCTGGTTACGTGGAGTAACTGATGGACAAAATTTGTTCCACTGCAGGCGTAACTGCTGGGAAATCAGGGAGCACTCAAGTGGGACTAAATCAGCATATATAAACAAACGCTCAGGGAAACTCCTCCATTACATCGATTCATCTGGATAAGACCGATAATAAGTAACGAACATCGCTACCATCTCTTAAAATGTAAGAATATTGCTTGCGTCCCACGTTTGTTTTGAAGCCAAAGCGCGTTTGGAAATTATGTGTCAGTTGTCACCATTATTTGGTCATGAACGGTTCAAAAACTTCCCAGTTTACCTCGCTTTGGCACAAAACTAATGCTCTGTCCTTAATTCTGAAATTAGGCATTCTCTGATCAATTTCAAGACTGCATAATGGTACAAATTAAACATAGAAGCCATAAAAATTTATTTATTTGTCTGTCAGTATTGCAAGTTCCATTTTTAAAATTTCCATGATCGAAGCTTCATTTGGTTTGACCAGCAGAGTGAATCCATTTTTTAAATTCTGTGCTATACATAAATTCCAACCCACAAAAGTAGAAATAGAATTCCAAATCCATTAAAGAAAGAAGCAACGAATGACATCAAAATTTCCTTGTAAAAATCTCTGGTGTATTTTGTCGAAGTTACCTGTAATGAGAACGTATTCATGGTATTGAAATCTAAAAAATTGTAATTTACCTTTCTATCTTGGACTTGCTGACTGAACAAAAAGAATAATATGAAAAAAGATATCCGGGAAGCAATATCAACTTGCAGATATATCCTATAGGATCAAATTTGAATTCCATTCGCTGCCTAATCCAATTGAAATGAGGATCAATAATAAAATGTGTTGTGAATGTGAACATCAGCCTGCATTTTATGATTCAATCTTTCTTTAAGAATACAAGATGGTTTGTGCATTCAATTTTTTTTTCTTGTGCAATTCTGCTGGGCTTGTTTTATAGGGCATTGTAATAACTGTATTATTTAGTTTTGTTTGAATATATTTCTGTATTTATAGCATAATTACAGAACTAAGTTGTTCATATAGGGTGGTGTAGCCAGTCTGCGGACAATTTCATTCAAACCGCTATAAAACAAAAACCAATATTTCTAACCCGTTAATTTTTTCACCGTAGGTGCATTAGCATTTATTCTACACGCTGAACTACTACGACCAGGGGTTAAAGCTATACAAACCACCAAAGTACGACACTCTGAAGACGTATTTGCGACCGAACGACCAGTGTGCGATCACGGATTTCAAGCCTTGAACATCGTTTCTGCTGCGTCGAGACTAGGGCATACGCTGCCATGCGTGAAAAAATGGCTTCCAATTGCATTTCTGACCGTCATATATTTTAAGAACACGGTTATTTCGAACAAAATTCTTCAAATTATAAACAAAGCACCGCATCACAGCAATCAAACAGACAAAAACACGGTGGTCGCAAATTAGTTGATAAAGATATTATTGACGTATTGGAAATGCGCACCCCCCTACTCCCCCTCCTTTGAATGTAGAAGCGCGAAACTTTAAAGATGGTTAAAAGAAACACAACTCTACCCACCTGCCAAGTTTCATCTCTTTATCTCTTATATTTGTATGGATTTTCAAGCTTTTTTAAAGGAACAATGGGTAGTTGGCGACATGATAAAATGGTCCGTTTTTTTTCTTCGGTCAGGTTTTCGGTCGTAACTTTTTTATTTGTGGCCGCATTTTAGTGTAATTTCGCAGAGCTACGAGGGATAAGTGGACGATAACGCGTGAGAAATATCGTCACGGTTCGTTAATTTTTTCAGCATTAATTTTATCGATGAAGTTGATGGTCGTAGATACTGAGATAGGTCATGGCCGCAAAGTGGGTAAGCCACCCTACAGATATACTTGATGGCATGAATGACCAATGCACTATACACTCTTTCATCACTCGAAAGGCTTTCAGCGACACCTACAACACTGATTACGTTTAACGAATGAAATTCAGTTAATGCAAATGCTTCTACAGTTCTAAGACTATTATTATTTCAGATACAGCAATGCCCCACAATTTTGAAATACGATTTTTAGTGGTTCTTTATCATATAAACAATATAAAAGATAAATTATCTCACCTCATAAACGAAAAACCATATCGTAAAGAAAAGTCCAATACCCAATAAAACGAGTGTGAGATGCGGATAAACTGCTGGATTTACTGGTGACACATACCGGCTCATAAACGACAAATCCATTTCACTCTGAGAAAATAAAACGATCTACCATGAGAAAAAAATAGAATAAATTTTTATATTAAACTTCAAAATTCGTAAATAGCTTACCATTTTGAACGAAATTTGTCTACGTTTATCAGCTGAAACGAAAATCAAAAGAAAGTCACAAAACCCGCCACAGCAATTTTCTACGACAGAATTGGCCACATATTTTCATTTATGGGACTGAGTTTGATGACGTTTCAGTTCGATAAAATTTGTAAATTAAATAATCCGTGCTTGGTTGATTTGAGTACAAATTGAGATGTTAATTTCAAAAAAATATTAAATTAGATTTATTTCAATACACTACTACTAATTTTTAACGTAAATAGTGTCAGTAAAATATTTTTCAATTACTCAAGCCCAAAATTCAGCAGGATACTTGCGAAGAAAAAATAAAGAGATTTTGATAGTAAATACCATTCAATCAAAATTGATTTGTTTTTATTAAAAATATTTTAAAAAATTTTAGGCTCTTTTTCTAAAACTGTTTATGTGGAAATCAATATGAAAAATTATATGACGTAATAAATCATGCGCTTTGGTCAGCTGACCTCTTGATTGACGTTTCCGAAAATGAACGGTAAATTTTCGAAGATTGCAGGTTTTAGGTTTGAGGGAGTTCTGTAATTTGCAGATTTTTCTACTTTTTATTGAGATATATAAGATGCAACACATGTTTGGTCAGTTTTTCTAGGCTAAGCTTAGTTGATGCCCATACTATACCGGTACCAAAATGATTGCTGTGTATTTTATTACGGTATTTCACGGTAGAATATTTATTTGTATTTTGCTGTTGTATTTACTGATAGACCTAAATAAATACAGAAATAGATGCCAGGAGCCCAGGATATTCCAGTTTCCATTTTCTTTGTCCACTTCCTATGTCGGATCCGTTTGTTAAGTCTGGCGCAGTAAATGTCATAGCTCATTACTTGCTTAAATACAGAAATAACACCAAACAAAAATATGATGTCTGAATGCAGGAATGTCAGAATGTGGAATTTTCAAGTTATTTTTTTAAATAAAAAAAAGACTACTGGACTATCTGGTGAGAGTGAGTGAAAACCTTGACAGACATGATTAGTTGAAATCAAACCGAATCAATTTTAGACTAAGCAGGTAAGTTCAGAAGTTATGTTTCAAAACAAAATGGGGTATAGCGCATACCGTGCTGACTTCAGTACTGATATTCAAAAATTTCAGTATTTTGTGAGCTTTGTCAGATCATAGTATTCTTAAAGTAGCCAAATTTGAGTGGAGTTTCTTAGTAATAACTGAATAACAATTTAAACAAATGAAAATTTCAAATATGTTAAAAATATCTAAGTATTCAGACAGTTTGAATTATTTAGAATACGTTCAAGTTTACCCATTGATTGATGTTTTTTGATTCTGTGTTACACTGACATATCCTAACTCTTTATTTTGTTTATTTTATTATACAGATGTAGTATTGCACTAGTTTTCACCACTTTAATCAGATGTATAAAATGTTGATTTAATTATTTCAAAATTAGTTTATCTACTTCACAAAGTTCATCAAAAAGATGATGCAAAACTTAAGAGCAGATATGCAACTCACAGCAAAAAGGATGGAGCTCGCTAGAAGAGGAAAGGCTGCAAAAAATGATGAATCGAAAGAAAATAGGATTCCATCTACTCCCAAAGCTATGCCAGCATCTACGCCGTCAAAAATCCCAAAGCCTGCAAAAAGTTCAAATAGTAAAAAAGTTGTGGCTAAGCAGAGACGGCCGGTCGGATACACTTGGAATAAAGGGGGAAGATTGAAAGAGATTCGAATTCGTACTCGAGCAAGAAAATTCCTCAATATTTGGAAACGAAAAACATTCGGCCGTGTAATGCCTTCAAAAGCTGATAAACATTTTAGGAAAGTTTTACTCAAAAAATATTTTTTTGAATGGAAATCAATATGGTGGGAAGGTCATGTCGAATGGAAATTACTAGTACGGGCCGAGTATCATCATAGATATTCGCTTTATAGTCTTGTGTGGGTCCGTTGGAGAGAACACACATTATGTAGCAGAGAAAATAGAATTCGAAAAAGTCTTGCAGATACACATTGGATTAATAAATCTAACAATGCAAGATTTCAAAGCTGGAAACTTTACGTACAACTTCGTCGAGTGAAAAAGAATCTTTATGATACAGCAGAACAAGTTATAACAACTAAAAGAGTAAAAAACGCATGGAGAACGTGGCGCAATCGTGTTGATGTTGTTAAACAAGTAAAAAATAACCAAGAAATTGCTCTGTTACATTGGGTGAATGCGAAACAAAGAAACGTTTGGAAGATTTGGTCTGGAGCTTGTAAAGAAAGGTTAAGATTGAAAAGTCAAATTTTGGATGCTGAAAATCATTATCAATATCATCTTGTGTCCACATGTTTTATGTCTTGGATTCGACATCGAAAACTATGGAAAGAGAAACTGAAATTGAAACAATATGCAATTTGTATACGGAATCGATCTCTTGCATCAAGATGTTTATCAACCTGGTTTGCGAGATTGAAACGTAAAGTTGAATTAGAAAATAAAGAAAAAATGATTGAGGAATTGGCGAACCGATTTATTCTAAGACGAGCTTTCTTAGACTGGGTAAATTTTGTTAATACCAATCATGAGAATCAGCGTAAACATGCCTGTGCACAAATCTTATACAGACGTAAATTGTTGAAAAAGGGCACAATAGCTTGGAAAATGCTCGTAACACAAGAGCGGAAAAAAGCAAGCATGTTTGATGAGGCTGTTACATTACAAAGACACAATTTATTGTTCAATGCTTGGAAGATATGGCAAAATAAGCTTGAAGGTATTGAAGAAGAACAAGTGAAAGAGTTAACTGTTATTTCAAGACAACAATTCAACACAAATTTGGTGCAGAAAGCATTAAGGATATGGTTGGATTATGTTCAAACATGCAGAGAGCGAAATGAGTTGAAAATTAAAGCAGATTCACATTTTATCGTGAGGATACTACCTTTATGTTTCCAACGATGGAGAAATTTTGTTCGTGAATCAAAAATAAAGTTAGCCAGATGTACGAGAGCTGATGACTTTCATACTGGTTCTTTACAAATGAAATATTTTTATACTTGGTGGGAAAAATTTGATATTTGTCGAGAATGTAGGACATTAGAACGTATTGCTTTTGTTCACAATCGTGAGTTGACATTACGTCGAAATTTTCTAAAATGGAAGCAGAGGGCGTACAAACAAATAGTTGAAAAAAAATCAGAATCACATGCTGATTTATGTTATCGTGAAATATTGCTAAAACGTTCCTTCAAAAATTGGAAACAGCTTCGGAGCCAAGGACGCAAAAAGCGACAAAAAATAATTCGAGCTGCAACATATTGCTACCATAATACATTAGCAGGTTCATGGATTGCATGGCGAACATATGTAAATAAACAAAAAACTAAAAAGATTTTGATAAACAAAGCTATTTTATGTGAAAGAAGAAGTTTATTAATAAAATGTACTGTAAAGTGGAAATTGTATTTTGAAAAAGTGAAAAATTTTAAAGAAATTGCAGAACAACGTTTCAAAATCAAGAAAAAAGAAAGAATGGGATTAATATTTTTGCGATGGAAATCCGCGACACATAAACAACTTTGTTTAAAAGAGAAAGAAAGTGGAGCTTATTCATTTCATTGTAGAAATGTTTTGTTGAAATCAGTACAAAGATGGAGATTATGGTCTGCAATGCATCGGCACCAGCGTATACAAAAAGAAGAAAGATTATATGAAGTTAGCGATCAGTTATGTCAATTAAGAGCTCGTCGGATTTTAAGGAAATGGAAATTATGTGCTGTCGAATCAAGATTGGAAAGATGTAAAATTGTGATCGCTCATAATCATTTCCGCTTAAAAGTTTGTCGAGTTGCATTCCAAGTTTGGAAAGTTTATCGCTATGTCAGATTGAAAAAAATGTTGATGACGCAGCAAGCACATTGCTTCCATGAACGAAGTTTATCAAAATCTTATTTTCAAAAATGGAAAATTAGTTTGGCTGAAAAGTTTGATGAAAATCAGAAAGATGGGGAAGCTTTATGGCATTGGGCTTTGTCACTACAGCAGAAAGTATTGGAATCTTGGATTTTATACACGGCTGAACAAAAAAGAAAGAATTCCAGATATAATGATGCAATGCGAAAAAGAAGATTACATTTGCTTAAAAAAGGGTGTATAAAAATGCTTGAATATCATTCTGAAATGATACATTTGAGAACAAAATCCGCCGCAACACATCATGCCCATTCATCGTACGCTGGTTATCACCTAGCTTGGAAATTTGCTAAAAAATGGAGAAATATCGTAAAAGAGAGAAATAAAAATCGTCAAAAAGTTATCGAAAAACCAAAACCAACAAATTTAACTTTTATTGTTGATAATCCAATGTATTATCCGATCCCAGAAGTAATGCTAGAGAGGAAAAATGTCCCAAAAATTTCAGGCTCAAAGTTACAAAGTAATTGGGTGTCAGAACCTCGCCCCATTCGCAGCATTCCAGTCCCCTCAATATCTACTGTACCTTTGTCGCCAGTAAGGCCTCCACAAAAATGGAGACCGGCACCAAGAGGTCCTAATTTCCTAATGGATTCATTGCAAAGAGAAGGCCTGGATGATGAAGTTGAATTTTCTGATACAATTATGGAAGATTTTTCCACTAGTGGGCAGAGTAGAGTTAATATGATTCATGAATTTGGCAACGAAATCAAACCAAATCCTGAACTTTCTGCTGAATTTTCTGAGTTTACGCCACAATTTCAAACAACTGATCAGCCTGACACTGGTTTCATTGGGTGTTCCAAACGTGCTGCCCAGGCGGAATCTGTCCTACCGCAGTTACTTGCGCAAAATTTCGTTTCTGAATTATCCCAACATCCAATACAAAAGTCCACGAAAAGGGAAATTGAACATAAGTCACCTAGAGCAATTCACATTCACGTAAAGTCTCCTCGTAAAAGAGATGATAAAGTTCTGAAGAAAAAGGGTGAATTTGCAAACCTTAGACATGATAATATCACTCCCGTGAGTACTGGTTATCAAGAAGAAGCAACAAATATGTTATTGCTCCCTCCTTCTGCTTTCACCTGTTCGAAAGAAAAAGAATACTCAATACTTAGTGAAACTAGCGATTTTGGTTCACAGAGTTCACTATGCAGCTCAAGGGAAGATAATTATACTGATAAATCGTTAACAACACACAAAGTTGTGGACACATCAAACCCAATTTTGAGTAATTCTTCAAATTTTGAAGTTTTAAAATCGAAGAAAAGTAAGCCACAATCTTCTGTATTGAAATTGAATCGTTTTGAAGATGAAGTATCCCCTGATCAATCACCAGTCGAAGAAGATTGCAAGGAACATTTCACACCTAAAAAGTCAAAGTCTGTTCATTCAGAAATCCAGGAAATAAAGCAGAAAATGCAGCAATATCAGGAAAAGAAAGAACTAATGAAAGCCTTGAAAAGACAGAAAGAGGTTCTTGAACATTGGTTGTCACGGGAACAGTCACGGCCTGCTTGTGATAGCTCCATATTTGGTCCTGCACAAGATGAAATAGCACAATTGACAAACGATTTACGAACGCTGGCTCTCGAACTGCAAGCAGAACGACCTCAAATGGAAGAATTGATTCAGAGAGTGAAAGCATTGTCTGAAGGACCCAGTAAAAGATGATGGAAGTTGTTAAAGATGAAGTTTGACCAATTAACTTATCAGAACAATATCTATCGAGGTTTATGCTTCCGAAAACAAATAACTGGCTGACTAATTCCATACTTGACATGAACTGGCAACCGGACGAGTGGCCGTGGTTTGCCATATGGTTAAGCCGTCTTATCAACTTTCCGTTCCCCCAGGAATAAATATTCAAATCCATCCTAAGGTTGCTGATTCAGATTCAGACATTTTTTTCGCTCTGAGAAGACCAATATGGTATATCAAAAAGAAATAAACCAAACTTATCAATTAAATTCAAAAAAACGAACAATGGCTCGTAGCAGTTGACAAGGGGTTGCGAAAGGCTCGGGGAATCATCTAGTTCAGGAGCCCCTCACTAAATTTCAAAAATAAAAACAGACAAACACATTGTTATTTACCGATTAATGTCCCTGAGTGAATTAAAATTACTTTATTTAATGACTCTGCTTTTGCTGCGCTGTATTCAAAGTATATAAGCAAGTATTTTAATAAGCAAACGAATAGCTATCGCAGCCCCTTGGTTTTTCTCACAGAGCCCTAAGGCTCTCTCTGTATGGAGAAAGCCTATGATCTGGTCGATGTCAAAGATATCTTAGTGCTAGGGAAATTAAACTGATTCTCTACATCAAATGTGGCAAGATGGGTGCAAAGGCTAGTAAATTTTTTATTCCAGTGAGTGACTGAATTCAAGGCAGCAGCATTTAAAGAAAGCAAAACACCATAACTATCGTTGCCTGCTAAAGGAGCAATGGTTGATAAAACATTTTCATTTATTTGTCTGTTTTTTTAGCTTGTAGTGTTTAGATAGGGATGTATCAACACATTGCTCTGGTCTCAAATGAGAACTAATCAATAATGATTTTGAATTAAATTAAAAGGGAATATCGGTTTGGGACACTTGGAAATGCTGGCATATAAATAGTTTGTTTTGAAAACTCTGCTGTTAAACTCTACTTTTAAGATTTAGTGTTGGTACATCCCTAGTTTTTGAGTGTTACTGTATTATTTATATTTTCAGTGCAAAGGTGTGCTTTTCAGCTTTTTATATTGCATAGATGCGAGTGAGTATGCTGCTTTTGTGTGTTTATATTTGTATATTCCATGTACTACCCATAAGAGTTTTAATAATAAAAACTCAGATTCCATAAACAGTTAACTTCTTATCGAATGAGCATTGGAAATTTTTGCATTTTGTTCTCTGTCTCCAATTCATTTTTCCAAATTATCACTTTTGTAACCAAATGATATGAATAATTGTATCAATTTATTTTTCAAAATGTACCTAATTGACAAGTAATTTAGGAAATTAATTTGTCATATACTTATTCCTATAGTTCTATAATTGTGCTCGTTGCTTGTACGTTTTTTATTATTATTAGCCACTGTTCATTTATTAAATCGCCCATTTTGGATATCAAAATTTTCATCTTTTTTATGTCATACTGACTCGGTGTGCTAATTTTTTTATCTGTATATTTTGTATTTGATATTCTTATTCCAACATATTCAGAAGACATTGAAGTTTCTTCAAACTTATAAAAGTATGTAGTGGCACTTGCATAATTTTCAGTAATGGTTGGTTCAATGCGCATAACTAAATACTTATTTTTTTTCAAATATATTTTTAGTCACCCCTTACATAATGTGCCAAAAAGTACTTTTTTATACTGTATTTATTCCTTAAAGCAAATTGTATACATCCAACTTCAACATACATGTACATGCATATTTTTTCTGTCACATCCATTGAATTTAAATCTAGTGCTTTCCAAATTAAGTTGAAATTTAAATTTTGAAATGACTTTAAATCTGGATCTAACTTAAATCGAGTACAATTTGACCATATTCTGAAATATGGATATTGCCAAACCTAACTTGGTTCTTCCAAAATTCAGACTAAAATTTCAAAATAACCTAGATTTTGTAACAACTTGTTCTGTATTAGTACGATTTAGCCTTAATCTGTAATGAGAATGTTACCAAACTTGAATTGAAAACCTCATCAACAGTCAAAAATGCTGTCATTCATATATTTAGCATATTCTTTTACATCTTAAGACTAATTATTGTGGTTTGGAATGCAATTTTTGTGTTATTTTGATATGCATGTTTTGTATTTTTATAGCTTTATAATTTTAACTAAATAGTTAGTACATCAAACACTGAAAATGTCGATCAACACAGAGCAATCAGATCTTCTTCAGCCATCAAGAGCTCCTGCTCCTAAGTCAGATAACCCTCCCCTGTCCATTGTTCCAACAAATACACTTCAAGCTCAGGTACTAGTATAGTATACTACGTGGTTAGGAATTTTGTTTTTCTAATTTTTCATAGTGTACAATTGGGATAAGGTTTACATATTTATCCTGGGGGAGAAGCAAACCGATAAGACAGCTTAATCATATGGAATCCAAGGCCTCTCGTCTTGTTACCAGTCCATGTTGGTTCTTCCAAAAATAATAACTGTTTTGTAAGAGTCGAAAACCTTGGCTCGGCGGTGTGGCTAACGTGCCGAGTGTTAGGAATAGGCTCGCCACTGCATCTCTGATAACCTTACATGGGTTCACAAGTGTAAATACTTAGGGGATTACTATGTGCGAGAGCATTGCTTGGTTTACATAACCGCTGGTCGGTTTAATAAGGTTTCTTCCACTATCAAGTCTATGCATTTGAAAACAAATAACTGACCAACTAATCTCATACCTAGTATGAACCGGTGATCAGACGAGAGGTCGTGGTACACCATATGATTAAATCGTCTTATCGGTTTTCCTCTCCACGTGATAAATATGTAAATCTTATCCTTCTTTAGAATGAAAGTGTGAGGAACGTCTCTTTTTCTTTTTTAAATCCATGTTGTTTGGGCATCTTGTTAAAATCAGAGATCTAAATATTCTTGGAAATTTTCGTTTAGAAATATTTCAATAATTTTCTGCTTCCAAATCCCTATTTGAATATGAGGTTCTTCAGGCAATTTGTGACGATAAAGTGATTGGGGAATTTGAAGAGGTTGTTCACAGAAACCTTATGTAATTACTGTAAATGTAATGGGCAGTATACCAGGATTCGTTATTGAAGCCTCTGATTTTTCTAGTTAATACTCTATTAATTATTTACAGGCTGTTGCTGTGCGTTCACATCCAGTAAACTGGCAATCTTATCTACAAGGACAAATGATCTCACCAGAAGATTTTCAAGTTATCAGAGAATATGATCAAGCAAGAACCAAAGAGGAAAGAAACGCTGTTATTGAGAGAAGAGGAGATGAGGTAAGATTTTGGCGTTCTAGACGTGTGGAGGTACAAGTAACTAATTTTGTTCACCTACTTTACGTCAAGTTGTATATAGGGACTGAAACCTATGGCAGGATGGGCAGGGCGTATATTCACTTGGCTAACACAGATGGTCCCCGTATTCGTGATAGAACTAAAATAAGGAAAATCGGAATAAAATTATGCACTAACTCTAACCTGGTACACGCACTACGGGAGTATGGTTTTTTTTATACAATGTTTCACTCAGACTCTGTGCAGACAGCTTTCACTGGTATGTAATACGGAATTGGAATCACTGGAAACTTTGTGGTCGGCTTTGCCTACATTATTGCATCCAGAATATTATTAGGCTTTCTATACCGATCTGAACTGGTAATTACAGTAAATGGGAGGCCGAAACTACCAAATAATATCCAACTAAGTGTTTTCTGTAATGCAGCAGTTCCAAAAGGGTGCGACGCTGCGCACTAGTGTCGAACCCAAAATTGAGTTTTATTCAGTAGTAGCATTTTTTTCCATGTAAGTTTTTTCTACTGACAATTTGGTGCCACACGGACAAAAAGTTTGGCAAGCGCTGCTGTAATGTACTACATTTACAACTTCTAGTGTTAATTCAATCATTCCAGATATTTCTGTAAACTACTGTTTAAATATCCTGTCTGTAGAAGATCTCCCAATACTCGAGCTCTACAGTGATTGCCTGTAAATGTACTCACTCAGAGTAATAGATAAGTCTACTTATGAATTATGCAATCCAAGAATCTTGTTTTCAACTACTTGGCTGAGTAAGTCTGACATTGGTCAGACGAAACGTTACAGAAATACATTTTTGTTATTGTGCAGCAGGACTATTGTATTGCATAGTATGGTATGTTCATTCCTGCTACGGCATCTTTACATCATATCATATAGATCCACTAGTGCAAAGGCATTGAGGAACGATTGGGAACCTCTGCTAATAGCTTGTAAATTGACTGCACTTTATCTTGCCTTGAGCAAATTTGAAAAATAATGAACATTTTTTCGTTTCAGTGTGCACGAACCTTTATTTCCCTCATGGTTAGAATATCAAAAGAACAGACAGTTCGCTACGTTCTAACTGCTGTTGATGATATGATAGCGGAAGATCCTCAACGTACCAATCTATTCTTTGAATTTGCGAAGAAAACCAGAAGTTCACCATGGGATGGATTCATTAATTTATTGAACAGACAAGATAAATTCATTGTTCATCAGGTACCGTATTCTGTATGATCTTTCTTATCTACGGTAGTACAAGTAGTAGACTGGTCGCTCCAGGAGTATGTGTACCAATATGGAGGTAACTAATTTCGTTCGCCTACTTCACATCAAGTTGTATAAAGGGACTGAAGCCTATGGGCAGGGGTATATTCACTTGGCTAACACAGACAGTTCCCGAACTCTTAATAGAACCTAAATAAGGAAAATCGAAATAAAATTATGGCCTGATCCTAACCTGGTACACACACTACGGGAGTACCGTAGGCTGGGCCGGGCTTATACCACTCTAACCTATGTGGCTGCAGTGTGTACTACGCTAATTCTGAAAATAACCTATTACATTTCACCAATATAAGTTATAATGGTACGTGGATGAAATGGCCCAGTGGTTAGTATCTCAAATAAAAAACAAAAAAAATTCCATGCTCCGCACCTCACCCAAGATATAATAGATTTAAATTTTGTAACAAGTTCCGAAACCGGGAAGCAACACTACACCGAATGCCGAATACAAAATTGTATTTCTCTCTGAAAATGACGACATTTTTCACTGTGAAGGAATTCCTTCTGGGCTGGGAAACACTAAATTAACCATTCCAGTTTCAAATTTAAAATTTTTTTCATTCAACAGGCAAGTCGTATTATTGCAAAATTAGCATGCTGGGGGAGAGACAACATGAACAAAAAGGATTTGACTTTTTATCTCAACTGGATAAAACATCAATTAAGTTCAGAGGTAAGTTCTGGTTTCATTTCAAAAAAGGAAGTTTAAACATTTGGAAATGAGTTTTTGGTTCAAATATCAAGTTATACAATTATGTATGCCTGTTTATACGAATCTGTTTTCTTTTTCATTGTTTTTAAATATGTTTTATAATGTTTTAATGCGGATTGGAAATTGTCAGTAAGAGCCTTTTAGACACTTCCTGACTCTATATTCTTATTTGGCACAAATTATTGATGGTGAATGCCGCATAGTGGGCTTTTCTCAGATGTTGCAACTCATATTTCTCAATATAATAATACAATATAATATAATAAGCACAATAGTAATGCTTAGCTTACTACTTGAAAGCTATTTTAAAGCATTTGATTCAATCTGAAAAGGCTTCGTATGTAGAGAGGTATGAAGATTGTCGATACATTTATATATATATATCAGTGACACAGTCAGGGAGGATTTTTAGGCGTCACATTTTTGTGTTTACAGATTGCCATGGTATTTTATAGTGGGCTACTTTTATTTGTCATTGGTGGACGCAATTGCGAGTTAGTTTGAGCGCAACTAAATTAATTTGGCAAGACATTTTAAATGATCGTATCAGTCATGGATTGAATATTTTGTGCAACAGAGAATTCATTATCTGCTGAAAAAGTCGACTCTTTCAAATACTGACATAGTTGAGGCAACTCCAGCTTTGCCCCTTTACAGTATTTATATGTGCATACCGGTATATTATTTTACTGTGGGATCTTTAACTTTTAATGCCGGTATATTTATCGCAAGTCTAATTCTGCAACTATCACACCAGAGCTACTCAACTATTTTTACGGAAGATCCGCATACAAAACTTTAAAATTATTTGTGTCCGGTTTTAAACCCAGAAATTATATTTCGGAATTCTTAAACACGCGCTTCCTGGGCTGGCTAATGATTATTAGCTAATCAAGATTGCTTAATATGGCGTTACAGTTCTTTTCATATATATTCAAATCTATAATAAAAGTGATTTTATGAAAGGAAACTTTAAAAGTGGGGCTAATGATCTAGAATGAAGAATTGGGCGCCGTCCAATTCGAATACACGATAGGTCCGGATTGGGGCCGCGGTCTGCCAGTTGAGTAGCGCTGCACCACACCATCATACCACCATTTTACTTCACTTTCATGTTTCTTCTTTATTTTAAAAGATTGTGAATTTTCATGGGCAATCTGGAATGAGTGAGGTATATATAGAGATATTAATTGTTTGTTGTGCAGTGTAAATAATCAATTACAATCATTAAATCATTATTTTTGTTCAATTTTTATAAAATCGTGTTTTAATAATCATTGCGAATTAGATTTGTTTTTTAGGGTGTAGTCCGATATAGGGATGTTACAATTTCCGAAATATTCAAATGGTGTGTATATTCATAGGTAACTGAGCATAATAATGCCTATTGTGGCAAAATTTTAGTTAGAATTTCAAATACCTCAAAAATCAAATAACATCAGAATTTCTTCAAATTTAGCAACGTGATGAATTTTGTAGCAGAACATGACATAAAGTCATAATCGGATTGTCAACTGAAGGAAAATAAAAAAAAAATTAGGAAATTTTGTTGGCATACTCATGAGTTGAACTAAGATTTAGTCTAATAAACAATTTATCCATGTTACTTTACAAACTTTAATTCATTTTGATTTAATTAGTCGGTCTGTTTTTCATTATATACAGTAATTCTTCAAATTTTCTTGTGCTTCACAAATTTATAACCAATTGTGATAATTCTATATTTATTTTATTGCCATATAGCAGTGTTTCCCAAGCTATGGATCACGAACTAAAATTAGTGTCACTTTCTCGCATTCAGTTAATATTTGGGAAAATAAATTTTATGTGAAAATATATAAGACATTAGCATCACATACCGTGCACAGCGCATAGTATGCCGGATTTTATAAAATTTATTTTTTTTAAATTAGGGTTGCTTGAAAAATGGTAGGGACGCAATGCTATATAGTGTGATTGTGTATTTTTACAATTAACTAAATATATTTGAAATACTGGTTGGATTAAATACTGACTGTTGATTTACAAAAGAATTTATCTATTAGAATTTGTGTGTTCATCTGAGCCAGTGCATTTTTACTATCCTACATCATAGGCTCTGTGTGGACTGCTAACAGCTGAAATAACTTTGCCGCTTTGAATCATTTAGATTGGTCTAACCCTTTTTGTATTAGTACAACAATTGACATTATCTTTTTCATTGTTCTAAATTTGGCGCTTCAGAAGTATGTGTACCAATAGGGAGGTAACTAATTTTGTTCGCCTACTTTACATCAAGTTGTGTAAAGGAACTGGAACCTATGGACAGGGGGTATTTTCACTTCGCTAACACAGACAGTCCCTAACTTGTAATAGAACTAAAATATGGAAAATCGGAGTAAAATTATGGCCTAACCCTAATCTAATACACATACTACTGGAGTACCCTAAATATGTGAGACTTCGTCTAAGGCTATGCCATTGTCTTACTTGAAGATTTTGATTATTTTATATAGAAAAGTCAAACAAACTAAAAAATTTATCTTAATTTCCCTAAATTAAATGTAACAAAAATAAAAAATGGCTAAACATATGGTGCTCATTTTTGTATTATAGTAACTTTTAATTTTTCAAAATTCTTAATTTGCTTCGATTTATAATTGGAGGTAAAATTAGAATTAGTCCATATTGAATATTTATACAAGCTAAAATCATATTTCTTACTTCGCCTACATTAAATGTAACAAACTAAGAGAAGTTAAACATTTGGTGTCTCGTTTGATTTTTATATTTATTGCTGATATTTAATTTAAATCAACTGAATAATTGGATGTTACTGTTTTATTGATTTATTTTATTTAAATCAATTAAAATCCGTGAAACATATTATATATTTTTCATCCTGGATCCATTATAAATTGATAGAAAAGTTTTAGATTTTTAAATTTGTGTAGAAATAATTGTAACAACTCGTTCTCAGGTCACTGATTTCACGCAAAGCATTTTGTATTGTCTGCAAATGATGTTGAGGATTCCAGAATACAGGATGGCGTTTTTCCAAGCTGATGGTGTGACGACGTAAGTTTTGAGAGCCGGGTATAGTGGTTATATATATATATATGGAGATTATGAATTTTCAAGAAATTAGTTTCAAACATTTTTTTTTTTAGTGATTCCAATATTCAAATTTTTTTTTTTTGAAAAAATAGTTTTTTCAACAATAATTTTTTTTTTTTCTTCTATGCTTTTGCGCTAGTGGATGCATATAATGCAAGGACAATAGCTAGTGTGAAAATAACTATTCTAAGTAAATCAAGAATCTCGAGACACGCTAACACAAATATATAACTTTAATGTTTCCTCGGTCTGAAGCCTTCTATGGCAAACATAATTTAAAGTTGCAAAATATATTTGTGTCGTCTGTGCCAACTGTTTGATCACATAGAAAAATGATTATTATTGTTACTCCCGTAGTGTGTGAACCAAGATGGCGGACACCGGAACTTAGTATGTGTACCAGGTTAGGGTTAGGCCATAATTTCAGGTGCAAATACTACGGGAGTCATTTGGGCTAGTCACCAAACTCGTAATAGAACTAAAATAAGGAATAAAATTATGGCCTAACCCCAACATGGTACAGTGCTACACATACTACGTTCCGGTGTCCACCATCTTGGTGCACATACTACTGGAACGCAATTTTATTTTGGGTAACTAGAACTTTGGGGTTCTGGAATATTAAACTTTAATTATATAGACATTCCTAATCTCTATTTTATCAACAACATTATTAGCTTTATAAGACTTTGCTGAGGACATGTATGAATTGATAAGGCAGATAATTTATTGTCTCAGCTTATATTTTGGATTTGATTGATGTTTTTAAAATCAATAGACAAAAGGGTTTGACTGTGAAGAAAAGAAATTGTTCTGAAATAACTGTCATTTAGCCTGAGGGTCATCTGATAGTAAGCAGCCGTTGCATCGAGCACCTACATCAATATAGTTTGTCATTTGTCAAAGTCAAAGTGGTTCTGAATGCAATTTCCCATCGATATAATATGTCTGCTTTCATGGCCTAGTTGGGTGAAAGTTCTGAATGATCTTAGACAAGCTGAAGTTTGAATGTGATATCTGAATGTAATACTGGTGTTGCGGCTCGATAACCAGTATTTGTTCCCTACGTCTCCCTTCACCCTGAAATGCTATTTTTACTCCTTTTTGCGTTACGATATTTAATCATAATGTGTATTTTATGTTTGGTGGGAAAATACTCGATACTGGCTAAATCAATGTAGAGAAATTTGACAGTGGTATCAATATGGATATAATGACCAAGTTTTAGCCATATTTCATTGGAATGTACCAAATTAATAAAGCGTCCCACCATATGATATCTATCTACACTAACCAAACATAAACTGATAATATTTTTTTCTCAGACTAATGCATGTTCTTCATTCTAAATGTGGATTCCAAGTTCAATATCAAGCAATATTTTGTGTATGGTTGATGGCATTCACTCCTGAAATTGCAACCAATATAAACCGGTACAATCCAGTTCCAGTACTAGCTGATATATTGGGTGAAGCAGCAAAAGAAAAAGTTACACGAATTGTACTTGCTACATTTAGAGTGAGTCGGTTTGTTCTTAATTTCTATTTTTGAACTGTTGAATTGTTCACATTCCCATATTTTATGATATGAATTTATTTCCAATTCATAGCTGAGTTTTAATCATAAGATAAGATTTACATATTTAACTTGGGGGGGGGAAGGCTATATGGCGAACCACGGCCTCTTGTCCGGTTACCATTCCTGTCGGGTATGGGATTAGTTAGTTATTTGTTTTCGTGGACATGGACTTGCTGGCGGAGGAAGCCGTAACCGACCAGTGGTTATGTGAACCACCCTACATACATCAATCATAATGAGGATAGGGGGAATTTTATTATGACAGTTATTTCTAAAAAGTTTGATTATGCGGAATCCACTACCTCATAGCTGCTTTCCTGACAGCTTTGTCTTGTTACTGCTTCATACTCGCTTCAAGTAATAGCAAGTAACGCACCACTATAAATCAGTATAGTTTCAGTAGCACCAGGTTTTTTAGTAGTCCTTGTTGCTCTGCTCAAAGATCCGTCTCCCTTGCTTCTCAGCAAGGTGACGAAACTGACGTTTGTCCTCCTTTAAAAAAATTTCCTCAAAAGTAGGGTAACACCGTAGCAGTATCAAGATATTTTTCAATCTAATTATTCTGTAATGCATCTTGAATATCCAGTAGTTGGGAGAGCACCAGCATATCATCCCTTCGCACTTATTACATTGGTACAATATTTTTAAGAATAAATCAGAAATATCCTACCTTATTTAGATTCTGAAAAATTTGTTAGTGAATCATCTACATTGAATTTGAGTGTCAATAATAATAACACAATTTCAGCCTTGATTAGTTCTAGTTCAGCTGTTCACGTCGTACTTATGATATTAAAACAATAATTTTTCCAGAATTTCATTGAAAAAGCTGAAGATCCAGATGTTGTTAAAATTATGTCACTCGCTATGATTCACTGTAAAGTTCTAAAGAATTTGGAAATATTGCAGGTATGGTAGTGTGTATCTTGCATGATAATACTTATCTAACAGAGTTATAAGCATTAGATCAGGGTTGTGCAAACTCCGTCCCGCTGGCCCATATGCGGCCCTCAAGGAAAAATTGTGCGGCCCACGGAGAAGTGCCAATTTTGAACGGTGTACGGCACGCGAAACGAGTTTCAGTTTAGTAGAATCTGGTACCTGCGTTCAATTCCAATCCCTTAGCAAAGCCTATACCTGAGTCCAATTTATTATCTATGCCTATGACATTACAATGCCCTAACAGCTAGCTAGGGCGAAGCAAACAACGCATGTCATAAGATAAATTATCAAAATTTTTGTGTGCGCAACTACTAGAAAGCCATCTTAACTAAACGTGCCGCCTGCGTATAACCCAGTTATTTATATCTGACCCTCCTGTATTAAAGATTGCACACCCCTGCATTAAATTATCAATGCCTAATAAATGTAGTGCCATACCAATATTGGAATTTTTGCCCCATGCGAGTGAAAATTGCTCTGTAGTGTCTTTAATCCAACTTATTACTTACCTAACACTGAGTTATAAGTATGAATTAATTCCAAATCTTGTGACTCTGTTGCACACCATTTAAGTCTAACACGAATGTAACTGTTGTACATTGGCTATTGATGAATTTTTTTCCAAGTGAAAATTTCTTTTTTTCTATTTATGTATTTTTTCTCTCATGTGAAAAAAGTATGTGCTTCTCTATCAACCTTAATAAAATCGACAGCAATAGTAATTCTGCTGCACAGCATTAGATTCTACCATGACTTCAATCGTTGTATACTGACTAATTATACATTTTTTGGTACTCCTGAAGTATGTGTACCAAGATGGCAGACACCGAAACATAGTATGTGTACCAGGTTGAAGTTAGGTCATAATTTTATTCCAATTTTCCTTATTTTAGTTCTCTCACGAGTCTGGGGACTAGCCAAGTGACTCCCATAGTATTTGTACCTAAAATTATGGCTTAACTCTAACCTGGTACACATACTACGTTCTGGTGACCGCCGTCTTGGTACGCATACTTCAGGAGTACCCATTTTCCTTTGTGCGTGGGGTAATGTATTGTCTGTGCTGCTGTTTCAGCCCCAATTCCTATTTCTCTTCTTTTCTTTTCTCAGGACAAGCAGTTTGTTGATGAAGACCTTGAGGATGACATTGAATACTTAGCTGAACATTTAGCATCTTGCTTACAAGATTTGAGGTAGAATATTTCACTATTAAAAGTTTTGAATCAGTTTTTAGAGTGAAAGAACTTAAAATTTATTTATGTATTTGCTTGAAGCAAATCCTTGAGCTGTACTTTAATTTAAGTGGAAAAAATATTGCTGGAAAATTGCAAATAATTGCTGCTTCACTTTGTTTTGTTTTTATAGATATATTTTTGGTATAGCGACAACAGCTCGAAACGTTATTGTTACCAATTTGATTAAAAGAAATAAGACCATATGTGTAAATGGACTGGGGTGAAGTTACCTTGAAACGAACTGGCCTGCGTTTTCTATAAATATCAATTCCCCAAGGACTTTTTCCAACCCTTGACCTCTGAATGATTTTCCCTATACTGTATCATTGCAAAATTTTCGTCGCTGATTTTGAGTGAGTGTTACGAAGAGTTGACTCCTACAAACTGACTCACATGTTCAAATATATCATTTTTATTCAAAACAATAAACCATGCGCCGCTTGTAGGTAATGAGATAGCTAATTTTAGGCTAGTCTATCGCAGCGTTTGTGGTATCAATTTTTAAATATTGTAACTAAACCCAACGCCCTCGGAAGACCAATTGTTACGTCTTTTTTAAGTTATTGCTGATTTGTAATTCTTACGGAAATAAACATGGAGATCGATGCTCAGGGAAACATCCTTTGTAATGCATCAATATAGAATTACGGCGGTGCATTACACACCACTTTTGCGAATTCAATAAACATTTTTTCTTATTTTCAGCTCATTTGATGAATATTCGAGCGAAATAAAATCTGGAAGATTGGAATGGAGTCCTGTTCATAAATCTGAGAAATTCTGGAGGGAGAATGCGATCAGACTCAATGAGAAGAATCATGAGTTATTAAAGTAAGATTTCGTATATTAAAGGAGGTTTAATTGTAGTTAATCATTCAGCGGGCCTCAAAAAGTGAATTTGAATAACGGTATTCTTTTGAACAGTATTTTTGCTAGTTACATGGGACGTTGGTGCTCTATTAAGAATGGGATTCTGTCTGTCCCAGTTAATCTCTGGTTTGGCTCTGAATGACTTTAAAATGTCATTTGCTGGAAAGCAGATACCAACTTGGTTTGTCTCACCGCTAATTGATCTGTAATTCAAATTGAGGGTGGACTGTTTGATGTTTAAATGGCCCCTTGTCTAATGTTTTAAGAATGTCCTTAAATGTCCTGCTTTTCATAACATCTTTTCTGGTGCCGATTTGCCAAGTCTGTGAAGCTTGGCTTTCTGTGGTTCATATAATCCTTCATCTGTTGTTTCAGAATTTTGACAAACCTAATGGAAACGTCACAAGAGGCTCAAATCTTAGCTGTTGCTACTCATGATATTGGAGAATATGTTAGACATTATCCAAGAGGAAAAAAGTAGGTTTAAGTCTATGATTGAACAGTATGATGTTGTGGGTGTATTCAAGAAATGGTGCTCGCGTAATGTGTGTACCAGGTTACAGTCAGGGCATAATGTTATTCCGGTTTTTCTTATTTTAGTTCTGTTACGAGTTTGGGAATTGTCTGTGTTGGCCAAGTGAATATACGCCCTGCCTATAGTTTCAGTCCCTTTACACAACTTGATATAAAGTAGGCGAACAAAATTAGTTACCTCCATATTGGTACACATACTTCTGAAGCGCCCAATGAATAGTACTTTATGGTAATAAAATTTTCCCCACTAATACAATTCCTAAGAGGGTTGATCGGTCACACATTTCTTATTTTCTAGGATTATTGATCAACTTGGTATCAAGCAGATGGTGATGCAACTTCTAGGCCATGAAGATTCACAAGTCAAATACAACGCTCTTATTGCAGTTCAAAAACTAATGGTGCACAATTGGTAAGTTTATCACTTGATTTATAATTGCTGTATTGGTTGGTTATACTGGTACCTTTGGCTGTTTAGTGAAGAAATTAAAAATATCGTTTCGCATGTTATTAGATATAAGTTTATATCAAGTTGCATGTTCCATTTTTTCAAAGACTGTTACATATAAAGCATTTGGATATGAATTGTTAAAATCATTGTTTGAGGACAAAATAGGACCAAACATAGTGAATTGTAATCTTAATTTTCCTAATCGTTTACTTCTTTAACCACATTTAAAAATCGCTGTCTCATTTTTATATAAATATTTAGAGTTTGGTTTGAATTTGCCTTCCTACCATAGTATCATTCACATATTGGAGTTCCATTTTCTTCCCTCATCTGCCTAATAGTGTAGTATGTATTATCTTTGATCGCATGTCTCATGCTAAAATTCACTATCTATCCGCAGAGCTGAATTGTTTTATATTTTACTATGCTTCAAGCTAACTTTAATGATCCTTCTTTAATTTTCTAAGGGAATATCTTGGAAAGCAACTTGTTTCTGTCTGAAGAAGGATATTTCCATTTTGTTTTGTCATAATAGTTCCTATGAATCGTGTCAGTGTACAGATATATTATTTATTACTGGTATTATTATTGTTATATGGAATTTTGTCACTTCCAATTGGCTTCAGCTCACCAGATTTTTCCCATGAATGCCATTTCAAATATTATTTTAACTATGGTAGGAAAAAATATGTTCTTGACTCTTGCGTCAAGAGAATAATGAACCCGCCCAATAATGAATTCTACATTATTCCAAGTTGAGGGTAATATATATCTTTATGCAAATACGATGCATCACGATGGTCGCCTGAGTCTCCTTTGTATAGTGCGCCGCGATCTTGTATTGAATAATATAAATGTTGTTTTAAGCTTGTCGAAATGTATTAGCAATATTTGCATATACTAGTTCAACTTATTCTATTAACCGACCCATGTATGAAATGCTCACTGCTTAATTTTGTCTCCACAAATGGCATTTCCTATAAATATCAAACACCACCAACATTTGTCATCCTAAAGATATCTGATTGTGTATATTCCATTTATTTGTGCAATAAATGTCTTTACCAAGTGGCGTGATGCTTCCCTGTGGCACACATTATATTATCGTCTTTAATATAGGAAGTTTGAGTTAATTTAGTTTTAATTACCGACGAGAGAAAGTTTATCGTGGGCCTCGGCCGAATGCAACTGGTTCTATCTTCGACGTATGTCCCCAATCGTCATGCTTCGATGTGCGCTATTGGGCTGCCAAATAGACGGCATATGTGATTCTTGCCCTGCACTGCCCACTAAGTGCATTGTTTTATATAAATACTTGTACTTTATTAAATAATTCAAAATAACCTGAATGATGTTGCACTAAGACGCCAAGAGTTAGTCGCACCACATGTGAAGCAGACACCCCATTCAAATAATGAAATAAATTATTTATATCAATTCAATATAATTAGGTTTGTCTACAAATAGGATGCAAAAACTTTATAGTAATAATAAACATATGACTCTCATATAAAACACTTCATTTATCCGCCAATGCCTATTTATACTAGCAAGATCTTTCCAAGTTTGTAAATGAATAATGAAACAAGATCGATAAAAGTCATGCTTCATATATTTCTATTGAATCTTCGGCATCAAACCAAGATGTAATAAATTCTGTAGACAAGTGGCAACTTGAACTTTATGAGATTACGTATTCAAGTGGCAGCTTCTTCGGATCTATTTATAACGCTGACTCGCGTTTTTCACTATGAACCGGGTCCTGTACAAGCGGCCATTGATATCTGTCGATAGGTAAGCAGTTACAAATTCTAAATAAAAATCCAAACAACCGATATATATATAAAATATCTCGAGTTGATTTCAAAATAATAATCTGCTTTTCGATTAGTCCGCCAATTTCGAATATTTAAAGTGTGCACGGATTAAGAACATACCGAAAAAATGCTTGAAGTGTAGAGTTTTTACGTTCATATTTATCCTAGGGGCGAAAAAAGTCGGTAAGGAAATCTAATGACATAGCGAACCAAGGCCTATCGTCCAGTAACATTTCCATATCGTGTGTTGGAATTGGTCACCAGATATTTATTAGTTTCAGTTCAGATGCATGGACTTGATAAGTTAGTCAATCGGCCAAGTTGACCAAAATATTGATCGAAACCTGCTAATTGCACTTAAATGAGCATGACGACACAAGACTATGTAAGCACCCATTTAAAACCTCAGCCGACATTATGGAAAGAAACATACAATGTCAAATTCATCACGGAACTGCAGGATACTACTTACGTTAACGGATTTTGAGAATATGAACATCGAGTAAAAAAGCATATTACCCAAATACAGTGAAAATAAAGAATTTTAGCACGTAGCTAATCTGTGTAAATTTTGAATTCCCGTTGTGACATGAAGACATTTTCGAATCAGGTCAGGTATAACACTTTGTGAAAAAAGCAGAGAGTATTAAATAGATAATCGTAAATTTGTCTCATTATCGTTGACAATTTGTCCTCTGTAGACGAGCGAGCCGGCAGATCACGGGCAATTGAAAATACTTTTTCGTGAGAGAATAACTCAGCCTCCACCATACAAATAACATATATCAATTCTTTCGCTGCCAAATACATGATATCTCCAGTAAACATCATACCAAGAACGCTTGTGTTGTATCCCTTCAGAGCAAATCCATCTCACGTATACGGCCTCCAACGCCACTTCACTTGGCGAATCGTCTCAACACCAAGATCCACCATATATATTGCCATCGAACGTGCTTCAAACGAGCATGCACTTTTATAGGTACATTTTGCCTTGTACACTACACCACCTCCTCGACATAAAACGACCGGCGTGATTTCGTTTCAACTTGCTGCACCACAAGACAAAACCTATCATTGTTAAACGGTTTCCGATCTTCTTTCCATAGCCCGCTCCTCGGTTTATTATTGTTATTATTATTAGTAGACAAAGCGCCTCCACCAAATTTACCACCGGCGACCATTCCCCCACCTGAAGTAGGCACCACAGTCCGGTTGCAATCTGGACATAAGGTTAAAAGTATCGGGGTACAGAACACAATGACAATTCCTATGACAGTGACGTGGTTTTCAGTGAGTTGACCGTCAGTGTCGTCGTTTTCGTCTTTGCAAATTTCACCGAATGTTTCATCCTGATTCATAATTTTTTTAACCGATTCGCTACTTTTGATAAGTTGGCAACACGTTTTTTCGATATTAATTTGCTGTTTAGGGGTTAGTCTTCCTAAATCGTAGCCGCTAAATTCATCATTCGAGTCACAAGGCAATGTAAAATACCACTTGACGTACTGGGGAACTGCTACATTTGTGATATTTTCCGATGTATCTCTCTTTACAGGTTTCAAATCGCCTGATGTTTCGTTGATTTCGTTGTAGCGAAAGATTTCAAATACCTTATTGTCATTTTCATCAAATTCTGACGTCATAATTGATCTGTACAAACGCAAAAATTGAACAAGGCAAAACTGTGAGTCGCACTTACATGACCAAGGATTGTGTGTTGCTCGGAGAATACGAACAGGCGATTGTTCTACGATCGGGCCCTCTTCGCTTGCTTCAGAATCCGCCGCCAGTTCGCCTTCTGGCTTTACTTTATTATCTATGGAAAAACCAGGCGAATTGGGAACAGTTTTTTCATCTCTTTTCGAGTGTTTCGTAAAAGTTCTGATTTTCCCATCTTTTTCCTTCGCTTTTTCGCACAGCGGATCGTTTTCCAACTTAGTTGGTGCTCGTAGAAGCCATTCCTTTTTAGGAATCCTGAGTTTGTTATGTCCCAGTTCAATGGATAATGTGTAAGCTGATCTGAAATGCCGCAACGCATGTGGTCCTACATCATCAATTTCATTGTAGGATAAGTCAAGAGTTAAAATGGATTTGAGTCCGCAAAACATGGAGTTTTGTACGTAAGATATTTCGTTGTGATGTAGGTGAAGTACTTCAAGATTACTTAGGTATTTGAATGTAAGACTCGGTATTGCTTGGACTCGATTGTACGATAAATCCAATTCACGAAGTTCGGAAAGGCCTGCAAGAGAAACATAAATATATTTAGACAGAAGCACGTGATGTAATATGTAGTTCTTTGGTACCTCCACAGGTGGCACATCATGTATAGCAGGAGTATGCAACCTTTAATTCAGGAGGGCCAGATATAAATAACTGGGTGAAACCGCGGGCCGCATTTTGTTCAATGTAGAATTTCTGGTAATTGCAGGCACCAACATTTTAGTTATTGATCTTATGACATGCGTTTTTCGTTTCGAACAAACTAGCTGTTAGGGCATTGTTACGGCATAGATGTTGAATTGGACTTCGGTATAGGCTTTGCGACGCAAAGTGGCAAATGGATTGTAATCACTCGCACATACCAGATTAAACTAAATTAAAAACTCGTTTTGTGGGTCGCACATCATTCACAATCTTTCCTTGAGGGCCGATCAAATGATAGGAAAAAAACGAAAACAAGTTGATATTTACATTGTTATGATGCTGGCTAAAATATTATTGGTTACACGAAAATCGATTAGCAAAGATATTTTCACCATCGCCTTTCTTGCTTTGATACATGAAAAGATAAGATAGCATAATGATAACATTCACAAAACATAAACACCTTTAAAACATATTAAATGGAGTCTTATCTGACATTGGATAACGATACACACAAACATAACGATGAATATATAAACAATTTAATGAACTATATCATCAATGTCTGACATGAAATATGATTCCAGATTCTTCGATAAGGATGATTCATGATAGTCCAACAGCGAGTTTCTTGCATCTATCGAATTATCATATAAATCTGGTACTAAACATCCAAGTGTTTTTGAGATGTAACCCACGAAAACTTTTTTCTATACCTTATCGCTGCGAATTTTCTATGCTTACTTTGAGCCAGTGTTTCCCAACCCGAGTCCGCGGTCTCAAATGAGTCCGCGGAGCGTTGGAATGAGTCCGACGACGAGCCAGAAATTCACTGCGGGCCGCAAACGTTTTTGCGAAACTTGACCATTAGCAAAGTTACGATTTAGGTTACAATTTACATAAAATATAAAAAGCAAATTTATTCATATACCATTCATCGAGTCAATAATTACTGGGTACTGAGTAGGGCTGGGCATATATTCGAATATTCAACTATTAGAATAGCAGTTTACTATTCGAAAATTTAGTAACAGGTGACGCGACAGGCCACTTGCGCGTCGCTTATTCAAACGATTGGAGTTCACAACTCACTTGCGGATTTCCGACGAAAACACGAGTCGGCAAACGCGTTGATAGATAGTGCCGTTAAAGTGGCGTTTCTCGCGAGCTCGAACAACGAGGAATAATTTTCTTTTCTGGTAGGTGTCAATGGTGGCAACCTAAATTTTCTAAATTGAAAAGGGGCAATACAAAATACTGAAAATAAAACGGAAAACATCATAAGTTAAGTTCTATGGTGGTCCTCGACCGATTAAAAACGCTGTTTTAGACATTGAAAATCGCAAAATTTCGGGTGCTATACTGTAGTATCCGTATCAGGGCATTTTCCCTTAGGGTTCTTTGCTTTACTGCCTCCACATTGGTACGCACAGTACTGGAGCGCCGTAAGTGTTATGCAAACAGCTCAGATTTGTCGAATTCACAAAAATACGAATCTAAACTACATATAATCGGGCACTTTACCACGCATTTTTATGTCCACGGATTGTCATGATATTTTCTGCGTAGTATTGCTTCTATTTCGTCAACACAACCGCAGATTAAAATTATCACAATTAAATTAATATTAAAGAAAGGCGATTTTTTATTTACTAATATAGTTTCTGTTTGGTTTTATTACTCCTTCACGCAGAGTACATTTGCAATAAACTTACGTTGAGTCCGCAAAGGCTTTCGCCGGTGAGAAAATAGTCCGCGACCAAAAAAGGTTGGGAAACGCTGCTTTAAGCAAAGGGACACACACTTCTAAAATCATTACTCCTCGTCATATTTTAATTACAGCAATTTGATTGAATAAATTTTGGGAACATAAATCAAACTTGTCAAAAAAACGCAAAATAACAAAATCGATTCGATGTTTGCAACCGTGCCAGAAAACTCTGCCTACGTGAGAGAGATGTCAACTGTTACGTCACTGTAAACACATTACTGATTAGTCATTGTTGCGGAAACCAACACAGAAGTTCATCCTAAGGGAAACATCCATTGATAGAAACTGATATGTTTTTATGAAACAAAAGATTGTGGGGTCGTATGACGAACTGCCTATCTGCGTTTCTGGATCTATATGTGGCGTGTGTCTCAATTCACAGAATGCTTGGAGTAAGATGAGTCAAGAATTTAAGTAACTGTGTCTAAATTTAAATGAATAGCTATAAGATGAATGAACACTTACATATCCTTATACAATTCACCACAATTTTTAGTTTATAAGAAAAGCACAATCTATTTTCAATTTTAAATAAAAACAAATATATTATCTCAGTAAAATCTAACGGCGATAGTCGAAGACTATCAAAGGCCCACCATCCATAGGCGCTTATATGCCTTGGATAACTTCGACAGCTAAATGCGGCTGTAGAGCGATTACAGATATTGGTAGATATCAGTGGCTCCTTATACCTGGCTTTGTTTGAAGCAAAAGGCACGAGTGAGTATACAAAAAAATTTGCAACCCCCATTTTGCTACGCTCTTGCCGCCACCAGGACATTATATTTATACCAAAGTTTCTCCATAATCTTCATATATTTTTACACAAACGTAGCGATTATGATTTATTTTTATTTAGTTCATCTGTTTTTTATGAATTTTGTCAGATTTATAATTAATGCTAAGGTTACAGAATCTCGGAAGTAATCGATATTAAGACGAAAAACTTGAATTTTTCGCTTTTTAAGTCGATAATACACTCAATAACGTTTATATGCAGTCGATATAATACATGCATATAGTTACTGTTCGATTTTTGATATCCAAAGCTCATTTTCAATATTAATTCTATGCTTTTAAATAATGATCCCAATTGCTTTTAAATGTTAAAATAGCTGGTTAATTAAGTTTTATAAATGTGTACATAGATGTGAAAACACAATTTTTAAATTTGATTATTTTTACACTAATTTGAGTTACCATCAAACTCATATAAATTTTACAGTTTTTTTTGTAACAGTAAAGCATTTTCAAGTTCACAGACGCACGAATTTAATCGATCTATATTGAGGTAATCATCCCAGACCAAAACAATAAGAAAATAAATTGATAAACCCGGCACGAAAATCAGACAAAGCCAATTATCCGAGACAACGAATCCGTTTCGTTTAAAAAAATTTGCAAAATTGCAAGATTTTTGATGCTTATTTTGAAAATGTTTCTGCTGTATGTCCTTTGGTCCTATAGGTACAGGCAGGTGACCGCAGGTACTGATAGCTAATATTAACCGCAGCCAATTTTTAATTATCGCAACTAAACTGAAGATCCTCGGAAGACATACACACAATATTTGGATTAAACGCTTTTACCATCACCACAATCGGATTTATTCGGTGAAAATGAGAGAGAACCGCGCGACACTAAGTAACTTAAATCAAAAATCCACTTAAAACAAGCACAGGCGCGTATGTGCTGTAATATGGATAAACCAGAGAATCAATTTATTATACATAAGAGATTCAAATGTATTCTTGTAGGCAAAGTTTGTGTCGCATCTATAGAAAAAAAAATACTGTAATCTGTTCTTGTACATTGACTAGGATTATTTTTTTTTTCATATACCTAATATCAGTAACCGACATTTTAACTTTTCTGCTCATGGTTATAATCAGGTACAAATGTGTAATATGGTTCAAATTTGACAAGTAAACAAATTGACTATACCCTCCAATAATGTATACTCTTATAGCCAATCAAAGTTTATATCGCATCTATAGAGTATAATTAATGGCGCTCCAGAAGTGTGTGTGCCAAGATGGAGGTAACTAATTTTGTTCGCCTATTCTTCATCAAGTTGTGTAAAGGGACGGACGCCATGGGCAGGAGGTATATTCACTTGGCTTACACAGACAGTCCCTGAACCTGGCACACAATTAATAATGAAGATTAATAACCATGATCTGGTCTTGTACAAGCTGGGGTGATTGATTTATTTAAAATGCCACTGGTCGATCATTTCTTTTAGGTATTTGAAAATGAGCTACAAAAAGCATTTGAAAAATGTCGGAGAGGTTTACTTAATTGTTACACTAAGCTAGTCGAATTACTTGGTATAAGAATTGCTTGAGTAATAATAGCACACTAGACAACATTTACGGTAGTCTCATATAACCTCTATGTCTAGTCACTCTAGTTTAGTGGATGCTATTAGTGGCTCAGCTGCCAACGTCATTTTCACTTATAATGACGGTATTCTAAAAACTTAATTTCCGACCTTGGAAATTAAATTAGATATTGAATCTTGGGTGTCGCTGCTCGATAACCAATCTTGGTTCCCCGCGACTTCCCTTCCCCAGTAGAATGTGTGTTTAATTTTATTTTTTGACAATTTCGTATGTTTTTTTTTACTGGATGGAAAAAATAATTTTGACTATGACTATGACTAGAAAATAAATGACTAAATTTCGAGGATCAGATAATTATGAATAAAAATTAATTAAAAGCACCAAAAATAACAAGGAATCACTCTTCAATATTGTAAAAAAAAATTATTTGATTTTTAGTTCAATTTTTTCGGTTTTCAGATTTTAATTCACCTCCTATTTAGCCTCATATAATTGAGTTGAGTCAAGATACTCTAAAAAGGTAACGTTTTGCCAATATTGTTTCGCTAAAGCACCATCTGCTATGCAGCCAGAGCCAACCACTGCGACCATACTGATTCCACCATCATTCCTCAAGATTTTATTCACAATATGAAATTAAATTGAATTAAAACGAAATTTCAAACAATTCTGTCGTTTTATTTTTGTCAATCTTCTAATTGGTGATGAATTAGTGGAACACTTCCATACACCAGTTCGGAGATTAATAATTTTTATAAA